AATAAAAGTTCTAAACGGGAACTATGCGGCTCCAGATGTCTTACTGAGGGACGACTGCGTGTGCAAGATGTCGGTAGCTTGAGGAATGAATCCCCTCTACTATAGACCTTTCCTGCCAATATTTCGTCAATTCCTCAACTACGTTCTCAAACCCACATCAATACGTCTTTAATACCATAACAGACTTTTGATGAAAAATATCCGAAAATCATTACTACAAAGAACCACTATCCACAGCGAAAAATGTGAATAGTATTGACAATCACGTTAGATTGACAATATCATGTCTTGGAATAAAAACATGCCCTTCTGTACTAATTGAACGATCCTGTGTTATACTAGCTGACTGCAATCCGAGAGACTGTAACAGCCGTGGTGTCTGTATCAACGGGACTTGCTCCTGTGAGGCCGGCTGGAAAGGAGAAGCTTGTGAAGAAGGTAACTTTTCTAGAAGTAACGGCGACATGGTTTCTCAAAGATCATAATAAGTACCCGGCGTAAATAATTTCGTCAGGTTGGTACACGAATGAATAGCAGCTATTTGATCACAACCATTTATTTTTTTGTTAACAGAAATAACTGCTTCTGTTCACATTGTTAACGGTAAAAAAAAACTAGCTTAAGTGCATAAAGTAACAGTGCACAGCAAACCAGTCAGAATTGCTCTGATGAAGATGACAGACGGTCATCGAAACGTCGGCTCGCAAAAATAAATGTTTGTGCTCAAAGAACTTTGCTATTCATCATAATAAGTACTTCTATCCAACTCCATTACTAAGAAAGTGAGAATTAATCACTCACTGGGCAACCAAATTCACAATAACCTACCTTAAAAGCTCATTCGTACAAGGGTTGGTAGGGTACAATGTAAAGCGTTTTCAACAATGCTTCGTCAACAAAGCCACAGCGTACGGACTGGAATACATTTCAGGCACTTATAGTTCACCGTATACTATACACCGTGACATGCACCCTATCTACAAAATGTGACCTTACGAAAGTTCTGGTTTATGCTATCTTTACTTTAATGTTTATGCTTTATATCTATTGTGCCTAGGGGCCTGCATTCCGCCTGACTGCAATGAAAATGGCGCCTGCACAGAAGGAACCTGTCGGTGTTTTCATGGTTGGCAGGGCGCCGCTTGTGATACACGTATGTGGTACTACTTCGAAAGGACACATATTGTATATGTGTCCAACATATTTTACCATAGTGAAGTAGTTCCTTATCGTTATTATCTTAGCTGTAACACAATGCTTTCATAAAGACAGATACTAAGTGTGTCTTGTGTTAAAAAAAATGTTGATTCTATCAACTTAGTTTCCATCCCATACATAGTTTCCTGTTATAGCATGAAGCTTTTTGTGTGTGTTGTGTCATTTTGATTCAACGAGGCAATACATTGGCCACCCAGACAGCATGGATGATATCGGATGCTGAAAGATACACACACAGACAAGGGCTCACCCCTTGCTCTGTGGTGGTAACAAGAGTTTGTTGTGGGCGAGTATGTATTGATTTAAATTATGTTCTCATGCCTTTGTTCCACTAAGTATTGAGTGAGATCTCTTCTTTAGTAGTCATTATTTAATCATTTAATTAAAAGGAGCCATATTTTGTCGAGTGTATATTGATTTATTTGTTATTCATATTTTTTTGTTCTTATTTATGTCAGTTCAAATATTTGTTTACTGTTTGGGTACTTCAATTTTGTATTGATTGGAAAGTCATCAATCATTACTTTCATTTCATATATATCATTTCTATTATTTGACCTCTGATCTCCAATTTACTTTTCTTTTCTCTATGATTGATTCTGTTTCAAGTTTGTTATAATTTCAGTATGATTTGTATGTTTTATTTATTATAATTGCTAAAAGAATTTATTGTTATTATTATTGTTATTTCATTTTATGTTGCTGGACTCCAGGAAGAATAGTATGGAGTTAACTTCCATACTAATGGAGATCGTAATAAACAAACAAACAAACAAACAAACACAAATTAATAATACACAATATAACTTACTAATAGTCTAACAAGCTTTATTTTTGCATGTCAACAGAGTATCGCCGCTGTCCTTCTGACTGTTCAGGCAGTGGTGTTTGTAACAATGTGACCGGCATCTGTACCTGTGAGCGACTGAGCACAGGACTGGACTGTTCTGAAAGTAAGGCTAAAATTGTCATTATATTTTGAGCATACTGGTGTGGAGTTGTAAATAGACTTAAATATACATAGCTGATAGAGGCCACTTTGTAATGCTGTTAGCTTCTGAAAAAAAGGAAGAAAATATAGCGAAACAGAAATCATTCTGTTAACATAAATATGTTTTTGGCCTTTATATTTTTTCTATCAATTGGTGAAGACATTACCCCACGGCGTTTCTTCAGCGGAAACTGACGTCAACATCAGCATTTAGAAAGAAAAACGGACTGTAGACTAGTGGAGAGGACTGAATTTGGAAAATGAACTATATGTGCCTATAATGTGACTGTGTTGTATATGTACATGTTTGTAACGTTTCTGTATATTGTTGGGTTCAATTTGTATTTTTTATGAAATTTTATGTTTTAATGTGTGCCCAGGGATACCTGAAAAGCAGATCAATGGATCTGAGGTATTCCCTGGTGAAATAAATAAACTTGAAACTTGACGGAGTTAAGCATAATCGTTGCACAGTGACTTGTGCCCTGTATTTACATTCCGTGATGTGCAGTCTCGGCTGGCTTTGAAATGTAAACAGAACGATTCTGGTCAAAGTTCAAAATACCATTTATAATCGCGACCTTACTTGCACGGCTCCTTGACTTATCAGTGTTTTGATCTGTCAAACCTGCTCTCTTGAAGGACACTATACAAAAGCAGCGGTTTGTGATAAACTCTCGCCACAGGGTTTGTGTGGACAGAACAATGGGCGCCCCTGTGGCAAAATATCTGGCATTATTGTCGAATGAACTAACTTCTCATTTGTGTTCAACTTGCTAAACGTTTAGAGTTGAAAACATTTTCATAAATAAACTGTTCATTTCATCTCAGACGAAGGCATCTTGTAGCAACATGTACATATGCAACGTATGATTACGGAAATTGAGCCTTATTTCTAGCCAAAGGCGTAAGGGTTCAACCATTCAAGAAGAGAATAAAATGTTTTATCTAGTCATACCTTTAGTGTATCTGTGGGTTTACTGATGTAGCATTAGTAGATCTCTTCAAATTCTTCTTATTTCTGTCATAGTTGAGTTTTTGCTTGACATTAGTCTTGATTACTTTGCTCTTTGTTTTTAAAGGGTAAGATCAGTGCGACTTAAAAAAAAAACTGGAGTAACAAAGTGTATAACAAATGAATTTTAAGCTTTATATTCTTTCTCCCTATATTGTCAGAGCTGTGTGCAGACTGCTCACTAGAACATGGAAGTTGTGAGGATGGAGACTGTGTCTGTGATGAGGGCTGGGGAGGACCTTCATGTAGACAATGTGAGCTGACTACTTAGATGTTATCTACTCTATTCAAGCCCCATGCTGTTTGGTTACCTGATCTGCCCACAGAAAGTCCTCGCACAATTCATAATGTTGCATGGACCTTTGCCAGTACATGCTACATGTATAGGGTTTAAGCAATCACACTCGAAATATTAAATGACGTTAGGGACAAATATTTCAATGTGGACGAGTGCCAGAACGAAGCAATAAAATGAGTAGACAGTAGCAAACATATAAGAGATGCACCATGGATGACGGCCAATATTTTATTGAGTCACACTGGAATAATTTAATGTTATTCTATTTCTATGTCAGGGCTCTCATACTCGCTCTACATTCCTTACCCTATGCGAACCTGTGTACCAGAGGAAAATGCCAAGCACTATTAATGGTTTACATTGAAATAGAGACCAAAAGTCTAGTGCAGTGTACAATTATTCTGTTACATTTGTTAATGTATGGAACGGTTATTTTCAGTACTCTGCAATGAAGTATGTGGAATCCGTGGAACCTGTGTCAATGGAACCTGCCATTGTAACCGGGGTTGGAAGGGACCAGAGTGTTCTCAAGGTAAATACTGAAATCTTTATTATTGTTATAATTTTTTTACTATGTATTATTTTTGTCTTTATGACCTAAACATGTTTCCTAATATTTGTGACCAACATAACTAAAGAAGGGTATTTCTTTAAAAACGAAGGTCAAAGTAAATTTGGGACCTTCTTGTGGCTTTAAAAGGTACTGCAGCGTAATTTTCTTTCTATTCTTTTATTTTTTTTAAAGCGAAAGAAAACTTTAGACATACTATGGTACAAACTTTGTCCCAATGTCACGTTGTTTAATATACGTGTACACACAATTATATGAACGTTGTGTTAGTGATGGACTAATTTGCATAATAAATAATGGATTTCTTCATTAGTGTTTCTAAATATATTTTATAAATACATGTAACATATTCAATCTATAAGGTTGGAACGGGGGAGGTACGGATATTTTATATTCAGTGATGCAATTTTTAAATACTTTTCAGATGCCTGTAATGAAACATGCAGCGACAATGGAGAATGTGTTCGAACAAACGGAGAATGGGGATGTTCATGTGACAGAGGGTTCGTAGGAACATACTGTGGAACAGGTTTGTCAATGTACAATCACAGGAAAAATACACCAACTGAAGCTTAAGCTTGTAGGGTTTTTCAAATTATCTCAGCATTTCTAGCATTCTTTTGCTTAATATTCTCATAAGTTTTCAAGTCTTTTCTTGAATTTGTGTTTACTACGGTTTTTATACTTTGTAAAAAAGAAAATGTTTAACCTGTGTCCTAAGAATCACACTAAATGTTGCTGTAAAATTAAATGTAAGTTGGTCAGTTTGGTAGTTTGTTAAATTATACGGTAATGGTAGCATGTTATTATGATTATTTAGCTAACGCCCCTTCATGTGTGATACTAGACATTTTAACATAAATATTTTCATACAGTTTCTGAGACGAACTGTGCCGACAATTTGGATGATGATGGTGGTGAGTATAGAATCACACCGCATGCCCTGTTTCCATGTATTTATAAAATAACGCTTTATGTAAAAATAATTAATAATTATAGAAAGCCCTTGTAGCAAAATCATTAACAACCCAGGCAATGATTCGTTAAGGGCAAACGAATGCGTAAAATGTTGCCGTAAAATACAACTTATTGCATTGGAAAGCATTCAGTACCAAGGATAGCACCGGTACAATAATTTTATCACATTTCCAAGGGAAACTAGTAACATAGCAATCGGAAATGCCGACCACAACACTCTTATTCTGTTGACGGGACAGTGAAATACCCTGATGTAGATGGCTTCTTCAATTTCTCATGCAAATACATCCGGCTTCTTGTAGAATATATTAAATTTGTATACTGTGACGGAATGTCAAGATGACTGTATACCTAAGGTATAGAAACAAGTACACTTCCAAAGCTGTTGAACTAGGGCGTTTGTAGTCTGTTAACCTAGCCTTGAGTGACCTTTGGTGTCTCAAATGTACGTTTTGTTTTGCATGGGTACTTGGTGTTCTAACCCTGGCACTACAAGTATCTGTAGGTTGTAAATGCATGTTGAAAAAAGTCATTCTTGTTCCTGTAGACCTGCTGGTTGATTGTGATGATCCAGACTGTTGTAATGACATGTCGTGCGTGGACGATCCTGCGTGCTTGTCTGCACCACCACTTGAGCAACTAGCAGCTGCTGATACCAACATTACACAAGCAGCAGGGAGAAGCTTTTATGATCAGGTTCTATTTCAAAAATAATACTATTTATTATAGATAATAACGAATAATATCAAAGTTCCTTTAGTTTTGATGTTATTAAGTACATATTAGCATTCTGTTTAATTCAGTTTTGGCAAGCACTTTATATCATATACGGTGATTCAACAAAAACCTATTGAAATGATTTCTAACATTTTTTTAAATCTTATTTTCCGTTGATAGTAAGTCTACAACCCCTATAAACAGTTTACGCAGTGTCTTGTATCCAAAACACTAACTAACATTTTTTTTTCATCTTTGACAGGTTAAGTTCCTGTTCCAGAATGGAAGTGTACAGAAAGATGTTAGTCCGGACGCAGTGGACAATGAGTAAGAATATTTCTGCAGTACACTTGGAGTACAACAAATTTATAAATGCCCCGTTTCAGACCATAACTTCGTTAACCTACTAATTTTATAAGCTGCTCCAGCAAAAACAGAGCACCTCAAGACTCCATTTCTATCTGTTAGAGAATCCATATTTGTTTTGACGATGATCTGTAAATATTCCTATGTGAAACCAAACCATAATGTCTAAATTAAAAAAAAACGGATAAATATACACTTAAATTATAATTAACAGCTCATTTTTCATAAAAAGATTTTTCAGACCTTTCAACAAAACGTTAACAGGTAAAAAAACACTGATTGTTTAAATGTAAAAGTCTGTATCTGAATGTAAAAAAAAAAACATTGTTTTCCTTATCCACAGGAGAGTTGCAGTTCTCCGTGGGCACGTGACAACACGAGATGGCAGTGCACTCCCGGGTGTAACAGTGTCTCTTCTTGATACTCCAGCGTTGGGCCACACACTAACAAGTACTGATGGCGGGTAAGCAAAACTAAATAATAAAATCCTACAGGCGTATATACATGTGATACCTATTTCAACAAACATATGTGCTACATACAGATCTTTTTACAATTCTGTCTTTTTCTAGACGACATATCCCCAAATCTTCTATTAGACTCAGATAACCTTATTGGACTGACGTAGTTAGAAAAAAATATATAGATGTGCTAGAGGCGCGTAAACTGTAATTTTAATATAGGTTATCACTTTTTTTCAGCCCCTTTGTACAAAGATATTAAGTAAGGGTCATTGCCATGTACTGCATTGATGGCGTAAGGATCATCGCTTACTTATTTCTGTGCCTACATTGAATATATGGTTGTTCTTTTTAAACACTAATTGTCTAAACATCTAATCTTTTCAGATATGAATTTGTTCTCAATGGTGGGAACGTGGACACTTTGGTTTTTCGACGGCGGAACATGATCGGGACACAGCGCACCGTTCGACCGAGAATCCAATCATACAACCAGGTTGACCCGGTGGCCATGATTCCTGTGGACACTAAGGTAAGAATTCGATTTTTTTTTCTTTGATACTAAGTAATTTATACTGGTGCTGGCATATATGTAGGTAGGGAAGACAGCCATGGACCATTCACATTGATTCAGTCTGTGATACAATTATGACTAATAAGATCATAGATTCTTAATCGTGATTTTTTTTGCGAGAGAATTGATGGAAGCATATATCAGGGCATACCAAGTTTCTCTCAACCGGGACGGGGGGCGGTACCGACTTCCGGCGAACTTTAACCCAGTGCTGACGTCACACTTTGGGAAAATCACGTGTCTACAGCACTCTGGTCAGAAAGTCAGTGATTTGGTCAAAACTTACGTTGCAATCAATTTTCTTGAGTTGGATTAGGAACAGTTTAAAGACCGTAGATTATTGGACTCCTTTCTAAAGGTGACAGAAGTGGATCTACAGTCATCTGACATCCAAGTCGTCGAAGGCACGGTGGTAGAAGACGAAGCTGGCAGCCGAAAACCCGTTCTGATGTTTGAACCAGGAACGGGTGTCACAATAACTGCCAAAAATGGAACACAAAATAAGGGAGGTTCAGCAAAATTAATTGACAACTCTCACAAATATAATTGGTACAAGTGCTACCACATAGATACGCTATAAAATTATTATTTTCATGATTGGAAGCAATATAATTTGTTATCTAGAACGTCTTGATCTCATACATAACAGAAATTATTGGACTAGCTAACTATATCACGGTCGTATCAACTAGTATACATCGATTGGGTGAATCGTTAATTTAGGCTTGTCTTTTTGCCTGCCTGTCAAAATGTATCTGGTAATGCCATTGCTGATATACACAATAAAGATTTGCCGTGCATTCCCAGTGATGCTTTTCTAATATGCGGAGTTATAATGGAGGCAAAGCAGCATGTGGTTAAGTTTTGTTATGTACAATCTCTGATCTGTTTCTGTCTGGTTTCTATCTGTTACGCAGACTATACAGAGGCCACGTGTGCGAGTTACAGAGTACACCGTGGGAGACAGTGGTGAAGAGGCAATGCCTGCCCAGCTCCCAGCATTTACCGGCTACACATATGCTGTAGAAATGAGGTAGCAACATATGTATTGTCTTAGTTCTACAAATCTTCGATATCCTAAATGTCCCCGCCAAAAAAGCCTACTCATAAGAATTTTACTGTTACTGTTTAAATAAAATAATCGGCTGTTATTATCAGCTTGACCGAATTTACATTTTACGGTATAATATATTAATGATGTGAGGACATTACCCTAACACTGTAAACTTTTCATACATGTACCGAATTAGTGATGTCGATCATGTTGCATTTTTAGCCTAGATGAAGCATCCGTCAACGGTTCTACAGATGTAAACTTTAACCAGAGTCTGCCATTTTACGTCAACAACTTTCTTGGATTTCCTGTTGGTTCGGCAGTTCCTACAGGTTAGACTTGTTCTTCCATATTTATTTGGTCTGGACTCGATGCGCATACGGCCTTTACGTTAGTTAGTAGAATATTCTTCAATCAGTGACTCTTTTTGACAGGTAGAAACACGTACTTCCAAATTTTCGATGTCCACTGTACATCTTGCTCACGGAGTGACCTAGTGTCACGAGAACACGAGACTAGGTCGAGACTTGTGTGGATCTTCTGACCTCTCCCGCCTCCTTGCGGAGTAGGGGTAGGTAGGACTTGGGCAGCTCCCAACCTTAATTGCGATTCATCCCAGCACGTTCCAACTAGATATGGACCGCTTCCTTAATTTTTCTATGTGCCTTCCGGGATTCCTGGTTGATGATCTTTTAAAACGATTAAATTTGGAGGAACGTGTTTCTACCTGTCAAAAACAGTCAGTGATTGCGGAATACTTTACTAACTGATAATTCTACGTGACTGATGAACCTCCTTTACGTTGTTTTGCAACGAGCTAGCAGCATTTCTCTGAATTTATTTATTTATTTATTTATTCTTTGAATGCTTTGATCTTTCCTATAGTAACAGCAATGAAACTTGTAGCGCTATATGGCATGCAATGGAACAAAATAATATAACACGACATTTGCAGTTTTCTGTCACAAAATACTTTGTTCCTTGGTTGACATGCCTGTCTTTACAACTTTAAAAATAGGTTCATTTCTGTAACTAGTAAGTTACTGAAACACAATTAATTGCAGTAGCTACATGTAGATATATGCCTTAGCTAAACTATTGATCAGTAACTACACAGTTTTGTTTGGATTTTAGGTTACTACGACCGCAGTGGAGGACGCTGGATAGCATCAGAAAACGGTCGAGTTATTCAACTTCTAGATTCTTCTGATCCGAGAAAGGCGAGTCTAGATGTCCACGGGAATGGGCAGGCAGCAAACGAAACCGAAAGACATGAACTAGGTGAGATTTACTGTAGTAAAAATCGTTTCTAGGTCTTTTTTGACTAAGAAACTAGCAACTACGCAACAGCTCGCCGTTAACTTTGTTGAATGACACATTTGACCGAATCAGAATACTGACTATTAATTTTCTTGTAGTAAATATACATTGCAATGTTTTTAGAAGTTTTAAGAAAATATACAATAACAATATTTCGTGTATTAATAAATTACTAGGTTGAGTTTTTTTTTTTTTTCTTAAATGCTTTATACCTGGCCTGTGCATGTAGACAGGTAGGTAGGCTTTATATGTCAGCTAGGAGTGTAGCCCATTATGCTAGCTTTAGCAGCCAACGTCTAAAAATGCGTTAGATAAACATTGGAAAATTCCATTTGGACACGCCTCTTTGCTAAAAAATATGTTTCGCTTTCATCTACTGGCAGGTTTACATCGCAAGACATGACATAATATTGTAAATCACATTTACTCTCTGAAAACTCAGGCATTACTGACAATGAGCTTGAGAGACTGGCCATGTTGTACAACCCCGGTGACACTCTATGGAGGGTCCGGATACCTCACTTTACACCATGGGACTGCAACTGGCCGTACGGGCCTCCAGATGATGGTTTTGGCCCAGGAGACCGCCCCCCTCCCTCTTCACCACCAAACCCATGTCCAGGTACCGGAGGAGGGGGGAGTTCAACAAGAGGTCGGAACCGGAAAAAGAGAGCATCTGGGGACGACAATAACAGAAGTAATTTCCTCCTAAATTCTGACTATTGGCAGCAGTTCTTCCCATATATACCCGCTGGAATCGACCCTGGGGAGCATGGCCCCTACCCTGCTGTAACTGCCAACATTTACAGTGAAGAGGAAGACTTGGAAGGAGCTACCATATACGATGGGGAACAAAGGAGAGAGAGGCTCACATCGGTATGAACATTTATGATATAGAAGATATTCAACTACTTGATATGCTTATTTATTGATCGTACCTTGTTAATCTAACCTCATCACCATGATATCATTATTGTATTCGATACCCCGAACCCCTTGACAATGATAATGTTAACAACCTATTTTAAGTATTGCCTAGCGATCGACTTTTAGGTACATAGGATTCTGTCAACTAGCTTGGGTACGGCTGTTATTGAAAAAAGTCGGCTGTCAGAAATAGGCCAATGTGTTGCTAAACAACTCATTCTTTAACAAAGACTTGAGTTTTACAGTCAAACATTTGGGAAATTCAAATTGCATATGCTGCCAATTGCAGTTCAATTTTCTTTCATAATTAATGACCTCTACCAACATAGATGAACTTCCAGTGCCATCATGCTTGTAGGATTGCTCATCATCATCAGGATAGTTACTAGACTTCATTGATCAAATGAGTCCATAAAATATATTCTATTCGAATGACTTTATCAACATCAACTCACATAATGTAGTAAAAAATATGTTTCTATTACTGTGTTAAATATGCATTATGTTGATTATCATGCATATGTTTCTCTTTATATCATCATTCCATCTGTATTAAGTTAATCTAAGTGTTGTTAAAATTCATATGTTATTTTCCTCCTGTGTTAGTATAGCTTTAGTTTCCTGGTATTATTTTGTTTCTTTCTTTTGTTTGTTTATTCTGTTGTACAGTTGTAGTTGGATCCGTGGTATATGTGTTATCTTTTGCGTTATTGTTGGTTTATTTGTTATTTTGTAATTGAATAATAATAAAAAATATATGTTTTTTTTTTTAAATCAGAGACCAGGTGAGGCCTCTGTTCCAATACCAGGGACGGATTTCCAGCTGATGTACAGTCACACACGGCATAGTGGTTTTAAACAGGTGACAAGGATCCCTCTTATTGGGGATGAAGTACCGCCTAGCCTGAAAGCCATCAGACTTGAGATCACGGTGAGTGGAAATGTTAAATTTACGTCCTACGAAGCTCTATTTTTTATAGATTTTAAATGAATACTAATAGTTAAGAATGTGGCGATTCTTACGTGTTTGTAGTTACGCAATGAACGCTTCAATTTTTTTAAATGTCTTACGCAATATTCTTTGATTAATAGAAGTTCGATCTGTTTTTATCTCACATCTGTACAATGTACTATTTGTAAATTATTTTTTTTAACTTTTATTCCATGCATTCGAGAAAAGTCGCATTATTTAATATTATTTATATTTTTATGTTTAGGTTGCTGGCAAAACGACTACGAAGTCCCTCCCTCCAGAGCCCAATCTCTACGAAGATTTCATCTGGGACGGGCTTGATGCGTATGGTAGAGAGGTGAAAGGCAGAGTCAACATGAAAGGTGATAGAATCAGAATATAACAGTCCACCACAGTCGTTATCACAATACATGCTAACCTAGCTACCAAGCGTTGTAACCAAGCGGTTATGGTTCTGAAGATAGAAAGTCAACTCAACGCCACATTAGCAAAACCGGCATTAAAGAAGCCTTTATTGCCGGTTTGATCGCATTGAAGTGTTATAACCTCGGCCGTTACTGATGCTTGGCAGAATTTCAATTTCCATTTGTTGATTGTGTCGTTCTTAGGGTAGCCAGCGTAATCATTATTGTTAAAATTAAAACAGATAGTAGGTTGCATTGCAAATGTGGAGAACAAGGCAACCTCGTATAGAACAATCTATTCCTCTGGCAGCACGTACTAATATTGCAATGTAGCGACACATTCAAACACAGAGACGAGCAGTTTTATTTAGGGTGACAATATGGCCTAGTTTGTAATAGCCCCCGTCTCGGTTAAATGAAGGGTGTACATAACTTCCTTAGTTACCTCCCCTTACGAAGAAAAAATCTAGTCAAAATCTTGAGCAAAAAGGTTCCTCAGCTGACTATGTTAAGAAGTTAGGTTGTTAAGCTCATTTTTTTTTCTTCACAGTGAGGTTGGGATACGAATACGGACTGGTCTACTACTCAGTCCCGTCGGAATTCACTCAGAGCTTCAACCGCTTCAGCTCAGCTGATCAGACCAGCCGCGTGTCAAGAGCAGGGAGAACAGTGTCGTACTGGACGGAGAGAGATATCCCCCTCACGCGCAGCATTCAGGCATCTGATTTGGCGGGCTGGTCACTGGACATACATCATACATATGACGGACAAAACGGTAAGTGGCCTCACAGACGTTCATCTTAAATATAGCAACATGCTTAAATGTTGTTTTAGTTTTGGCAGCAAAGTTGCATGAAAGTAGTTTTTACTTCAAAGATTAGAAAGGCACTTTCATCGCAGACCAATATCTCCATGTTTGTTAATGTATCATAATGCTTACTCCGTGTATGGTTACGACTGTGGCATTAGGAATGAGCACATATGCCAAATGCAGCTAGAAGTAGGATTTCTTTTCACATAAAAGCATTGCGAGTTTGCGTAACGAAAAGCCTAAATCAACCTTCTCTCTTCCGTAACAGGTATCCTGCATTTGGGAACTGGCGGGTCCATTTCTGTGGTTGACCAGACAAAGGTTCTGGAGACAGCAGTCGGGAGTGACACAAGAGCTCCTATCGACTGTTTGGTGAGATATTTCTGTTTCCCATTCCATGTTACCCACACTACCAGAAAAAATAACTTTTTGACAAAAGTAATTTAGCTATTGAGGTTAAAAAATGATCTATAGTTATTTTATAATGAAAGTTCATTTGTGTTGGTAGTTACATGTTAAAACTTTCGATCCAACCCAAAAAATTCTCTCATCTAGAGCTTCCGACCAGTCACTTTGGTCTTCCTCAGTAGACTGACCCAGTGAAGCTTGTCACGTGGCTTCTTTGAAGTGTGAGGTCAACACTGGGTCAAAGGTATCTGGTAGACTCACTAAGTCAGTCTACTTAGGAAGACCAGAGTTACTGGTAGAAAGATCTAGATGAGAGAATTCTTTATTGGTTTGAAAGTTTTAACTCTAAACTTCTATATTTACTTGATTGAATCTAGTCGTGTGGAGAAGGAGATGGTGAGGAAACTCAGCTTCGCTCGCCAGTGGCGCTCACAACAGGTCCTGATGGAAGTGTGTTCATCGGAGATTACAACTTCATCCGAAGACTCTGGCCAAACGGTACTGTAACAACTGTGACGAGATTACGGTACGTCATCTTACTGATCAGTTAATGATAATAAAATCTATGGTAAATTCCTGCCTGAAGGTTAATAACAAGGATGGAAGAACATTGAAACAGGGTAAAACAATGTTAAAAATGTTCCTAAAACAAGGTACTCGTCTAGAAATATGCCTGAAGGGTATGGATTTCTTTTGTAAACCATCGAAGACGTGTCCCACTTTTTGAAAACTTGTGGGTTTGGGGGTAGTTAAAAGACGTACAAATAGTGGAATAGAGAAGTCAGGTTCATTTTATACGTTTGGATGACGAGTAATTTCGAGATTTGTTATGAAACGAACAGTTTACGATTTCGTCTTCCACAGCTTTTTCACTACAATTCTTCCAATTATTTCACAAGCAGGTAATCTTCATTTTCCTTCCCAATCATATAACCCTTTATGTTACAGGCATAAGTTGGAACGGTGTTAAAATTGAAGAGTGTTTTTTTTTTCATCATAAGCTTTTTACACACTTAAGTTTGCTTTCCAGTATTAAAAAAAAATATTATAACGATCATATATTTGGTTGTTTTCAGAACAAGCCGCCCGCAGTATGTCTACTACCTTGCTTCCAGTCTCAAAGATAACGTCATCTTTGTGTCCGACCCGGACGCAAGACAGGTTTTTAAGGTTGCAACTGATGAAGAGCGACCGTCCCTGTCTGTGGTTGCCGGAACAGGAGAGAAGTGTCCACCTTGGGAAGACAGCTGTGGAGATGGGGGACTAGCTATGCAAGCAACGTTCAATACACTTAAAGGTAAAAGATAAAATCGTTTAATGAAGATAATGTATATCCATTCAAAGAAACTCTTGGTTGAAATATGTTTTCTCCAAGTTTATCTAATTTAAGTTTTCGAAAATGAGATATTACTCTGTGGGAAAATTTTATTTAAAGTAAAATTGGACTATTTTAATATAGATTTTTACGTGTAGCTTTACGAATTCCATATCAAAAATAGTCTTTATAATCTTTTGTGTGTGGCTTTGCTATATAACACAATCTAATATTACCTTTTTTAATGCAACATGTTGAATGAAATAGATATTTTAATGTTTTGGGGGTATTGGAGTTTAAAATATAATATAATACAAAACTATATTTCAGGAATCGCAGTTGGTGAGGAAGACACCATATTCATTGTGGACAATCGTCGGATTCGACAAATCGGACCGGACGGGTACATCGAACCGTACATAGGAACAAACGATCTGACGAAATTTTCTCATTCAAGCGGTTCTGAACTCAGAAATACTCTGATTGACCAGACGTCCCTAACATGGCCTACTCACATCGCAGTCACAAGGGGCGGGGACGAACTCTACATTGTAGACCAAGATGTGGTCATTCGGCTGACAAGAGATGGACGGACCAAAGTTATTGTCGGTCAACAGGCTTTCCGGCCACCAGGAGCTGGACTAAATGTAGAAGACACCAATACAAAGGCCTTGAACAGCAAGTTAGTCAATCCACAGGTAAAGTTAAACCGTAAATATTTCACGCCTACCAAACTAATGCATAACTTACTCTATTGCTACTTGCCTTAAAGCTTCTAGCGTTTAAGGTACATGGATTTGCAGTTCAAATCGCACGTTACCTCTGTCGTGTTGGTTGGTACTTTGGATGGTGAGATTGTGGATACGAATGGCAATAACAGTCCGAAAATACGTTGCTTATGCTGAGGTCACATTTCCAAACGGGGGCCGGGCGGGCTGCTTCGATCAACGAAAAATCAAAAATTTACATTAAATATTAAACGCAAAGAGTTACAAATATTAATTTTGTCGCCTTTTTTGTACTAAATTGTCTTTTATATCATACTTTTCGTTTCATAAGACTGCCCGGCCGGGCCTCGTTTTGGAAATGTGACCCCAGCATTAACAGTGCAATAAACATTTTCATATTTCATGTTTTCCTTTCTGTACTTAGTATAAAATGGAGATTGACTTGGATGTTATATAATTGTTTGTTCACAGGGAATCGCCATCTCTCAGGACGGGAACATCTTCATCGCGGAGACAGATTTCGATTCCCTCCATCGTGTGCGCCTACTCGACCCTGACGGAGGGATACGGCTCATAGCCGGGCGACAGTCAGACTGTGACTGCCGGCAGAGTTCGTGCGACTGTTTTAAACAAGATGGCAAACTAGCGGTTCAGAGTAAGCTGCATACACCGACTGCGCTGGCGGTTACACCTGACGGGACCTTGTACATTGCTGATCAAGGTACATCTATTATGTTTGCTGCATATGCTTAAATGTGTCCATAAGATGTAATGGTGTGACAATTATATTTTAATGCAATGGCCGCAGTAACCTTTTAAGCAGGGTATGTCCCAGTAACTAGTTTCTATGCCAATCAACTGCCACGCCAATCATCAGTTGTCCTATCGTTAGTTTTGGGTGAAACTAAAATGTAGAGCATGAACGATTGGAATAAGACAAATACCATAAATTCTGGTGATAAAAATACATGTTATAATTACGTGTCTACAAAAACAACTAAATAACCAAAATTTAACACAAATAAAATATTGCATTGCAGCCTCATTGATGCTGTCCGTTCCGTTTCCGTTATATTTGCAGGTAACTACAGAATTCGGAAAATGAGAGCGCACATTTCTGGAGGGTTGACAGACGGACATTTTGTCATCCCTGGAACAAACCCAAGGTAAATATAGTCTCGGGCAACACGTTGGCTTGTAACCAAGAGTTATAGTAAATGTTTTTGATGCCTAGGTCTGTATAATTTATGCGATATATTATCATACATTACAAGATTAAACGAATTCCTAAACTCGTATATTGCTTATCAGTAAATTACTTGTTAGATAATTAGTGATGACAATCAGGCTACCAGCGATTGTCAAAAGTCATTGTGGACATTTCAATTTGTGGAAATGAATTATTTGAATGAAAGGTTATTTTTGCAAACAATTCTGAACCATTTGATGCCAAAGTTCTGATCCATAAGCATGTATGATTGTTGCGTATATACTCCATGTATTGTGTTGAATTGATATCGATAATTTTTTTTATGTACTACCTTTTTTCTACTATTACAGTCAAGCGTACATCTTTGACTTCACTGGCCAACACATTCAAACTGTTGATATAACAAGAAACCAGCCTGTCTATGAGTTTGGCTACAAGGACAATCGACAGTTAACCAGCATCCTCCTCCCATCAACAAACAAGACCATGTTGATTGACCGCGACGACAACGGAACTCCACATACCATCAGAGCTCCATACAGGCAGAATCTGTATCTAGAAAAGAATAATGAGGTGAGATAACTAAATTATTATGGTAAAAAATGTAATTATATTTCTGGCTATCAATTATGTTTTTTGTGTAATATCACAATCCAAAGACAACGCATGCAATGGCGAAACAAAACAAAGAAGAAACGAATGAATAACAAAGTTCTTTGATCACTACTGGTAACAATGCCTAGTATGTATGTCACAATTGCACTACGTTCGGAAATGCATTGTTAACAGTAATAACTAGCTTAAGTGAACTGTGAACCAAATAACAGCGCACTGTGAACCATGTAATACATTAAGTGCACTATGCACCAAGTAACATCTAGCGTCTGTGCACAGTAAACCAGTCAGAATTGCCCTGATGAAGATGACAGGCGGTCATCGCAACGTCGGCTCATGGTTGTGATCAAACAACTTTGCTATTCATTTGCTTGCCATCCTAATGAAATTATTTACGAAAGAAGAAATGAATTCCACTTGGCGACTTATTCTACAAGTATCATGTCGATAGATGTTTCATGCGTTGGTACACCTTCAAGGTAAAAAGCAATACTTGATCTTAATTGACCGCGACCGCTTTTTAACGAATCATATGGAATTTGACTTACAGCTAAGAAAATTTTATTCGTCTAGGGATTGCTGAGTGCATTAGCGGACAACACCGGGCGACAAATACAACTGACGTACCAAAATGGCGGCCTGCTAACGGCTATACAGTCTCCGTCTGGATACAGGCGAATGATGGCGTACGTAACATAAATATTAAGAATATTCAAAACATTGGAAACAGGGTGAGAGACATAAATTAAGTCAAATTGGACAATAGTTAGTTTGACAGCTCAGGAAAAGAAGATCCCATACTAAAAGTATTAAAACAACAGCATTATCTAACACGCGATTATCAAAATGGTAAAAGACGATTTAAAAACAGAATCATTTAGATCTCTTTGAGTTTTATTTTAGATATACATTTAAAAATAAATTTAAGTTGTCTTTATCGTTGTGCACTAATTCTCTACATGGAAATGAGGCTTCATTTTATCAAGTTATTTCGTAATATATTAGCCATAGTTTGTATATGTACAATTTCGTTTATCAAATAGACAGCGTGTTACAATGCTAATTTGTTTATCGTGTTTCAGTTACAACCCAACAGGAAGTGTCTTACGTCAGTTTGACAACCAAGGCGTCACCAAGTTCTATGGCAAGAACTTTGGCAGACAGTCCACTGTGTTGAAAACTTCTACCAGATTGGGCGAGGAAGGTACAGTGAAGACTCTTTGAATCTATACTCTTTGTAAAAGGTTTAAGTTTAAACAGTTTCTAGTTTAAAAGGAATCGAAGATGGAATCATTTACATTCACAACTGATGAAGTACACCTCCTACTTTATCAAAAACACAACGTCAAAATGACCACGGCAGACCAGCAAGAACAATCTTTTAGAAATCTATTTCTCGTTTGGTTAGTTTGAAAAAGATTAAAACAGCTCAAGTTGAGTAAGATCAATTCAATCAGTGACTATTAAATTCTAAGGTACATACCTCTGAATTTTCGACGACTAGTCAGTTCGTCTTTGTCACGGAATAAAACAGCTCAGCTAAACATAATGATTTGGCACAATCAGTGTGTAAAGTTTTAAACAATGGAATATTTTTCAACACCAAGGACAGGCTTACAGTCTACAGCAAAATATGGTATACCACTGGTAGAGCCAGTGTTACCATTTTTATAAACAACTTTTATTATTGCAATAGAACTATTTGATCACATACAAACGTAGTAGATGATTAAGAATATTAAGATTAGTATAGACCAAACAAAAAATAGTATTATTTCAACATTCCCTTTTATATAAAGTCGGTAAATGTACACTTGCTCTCATTTCGTACATGAACATGTTGCCATATATGCATCCTGTTGTTTAGATTTGGAGGTGGACGAAAGTGTGCCAGGGATCACCCGTACCACAGTTCGTGTAGGAGGGAGGAAAATTAAAGAAACAAGGAGGAACTCTGCAGATGGAACAACCAGTACAGTTAATGCAGATAGATCAAGGGTAAGCATATCGGTATAGTGTTGTAATAGCAGTCTAAGCTAGTATGAAGCAAGTTTAAACTTCCAAGACAACAAATTGGACCCACCCAAATGTTTGACTGTACTCCAGTCTTTGTCAGGCAATGAGCAATCCACCGCTTCCGTGACGTCACACAGATAACACACGTGACTCCGTGAGCAGTGTATCATAGATTGCAGAAAGTCTGTGGCGCCCCCCGTCTCTGCTGAGGGATTGTTGTAATGCCCAGATGGCTTCTTTAATCCCTCGTGCAAAGAAGTCCGGTTCTGTGTCCAATATTCTTACTTTGTCCAGTGATTCAGAATGTCTAAGCGATTCTAAGTGTATATGTTGTAAGACCTCCGAGGTAGTCGAGCAAAATCGTTTGTGTGCTAAGAACATAGCCTTGAGAGATCTTTCAGTCTCTCCAATATTAGTTTCCTTACATGAGCCCTTGGAATTTCTGACACTTGTCCTTTGTGTCATATGATCCACTGCTCGCGGAGTCCTGTGTGTTATCTGCGTGCCGTCACGGAAGCGGTAGATTACTCATTCCTTTACAAATACTGGAGTAGTACAATCGAAAATCAACCCTGATCCCAGAATTGACCCGCTTGAGTGAAATTCTATTTGGCTATGCCGACATGCCTTTCAACCATAATCTATTATATAACCCAGTGACATACGTAGATGTATACAACGCCCGTGTTTCATTCAAAATATACCTTGAAAAAATTGTCCATAGAATATGAGAAAAGTTAAACGAAGGTGGAGACTTTGTAATAAAAACGGTAACGTGAATATTTTGTGCCTTCTAAACCATAGGTAGTGGTGGAGATGGCACCACACCCTGTATGGGGAAACCAAGTGTCGCTGGTGTCTAGCAACAATATAGTTCTACCGACCGGGGAGTTATTAACTACACAGTACGAATATTCTGCTATACTGGAAGTTGATAACAACCCTCTTACTATGAAGATGAACAAAACAGTAACCAAGGTGAGTAGATCGAGATTATTTTCCCTTTTTCATAAAACCATATTTAAGCGTAACATGGGTTGCCCAAATATCATATACGTGTGCTTGATTTTTGATAATTCTTGGGCTGTCCTAATAGTGGTCATCTCAACCATAAAACCCGTCGAGGCAGCTGTTTAGCAGACTTATGACCTCCAGTGATTTCGACCATAGAAGAGAAACTGGACGTGACTTTGGATTATGATTATGTTTTGACATTTTGGTTTTGTAAATTTCCTCTGTTCTTTCACATATAGTTATGTTGTATTCTTAATTTTATTTTAATTTTTCAGCTATACTGATTTCAATATACATTTACAAATAATACTATGTTATGTTTCTTTTGGCCCTCTTTGAAATCAACCATTGATGTTGAAGGAGCTACCCAGGCTTTGTTTAAGATGAAATAATAAATAAAGTTGCTAATTACTAATAGTAAGCTAATGCTGTTTCAGACTCTTATCTAAGTTAGAAAATGGTTCAATTCCATTGTTTGTTCTCTATCATTTACAGGTAAACGGTAACGCAGTTTCTAGCGAGGAATACCACAGGGATAGTTTGACGAAAAGTTATTTTCGGGAGCCTTCTCGGGAATTGTAAGTATTATCTAAACTCACCCTCTCATCTGTACTGAGCGATTGTAACTCTAAATCTAATTGTAGTTTATGGTCATTCTGTTTATTTTCTATGTAGACAAAAAAAAACGTTTAGTTTACTTTAGTAACAATTATTTTATGTATGTGCCCTGCATTCAAATGTATACAATATTCCTTTTTTTCTCATGCATTTCATATTAGTATTCGTTGTCTCAAACTGATCTGAAAGAAGCCTTCTACCGTCATTCTTAAGACTGTTGAACGCAATGAAATGATACTGCTCTTAACTCTGTAAATTCCTCTCTTGTTCAATTTGTATATGAAATAGTTTAATGCAATGTTGAAATGTACAGTACTAATGTGAATGACCAAAGTTTGAATTTCACTATGCTAAATGTATGTAATATCGTGTAAATATTTTTTAATGTGTAACTCTATTACCACAGCTTGACTCCAAGATTGTGCAGTCGTTAATGTTTTTAAAACAGGATGTACATCTTTGAACGTAATTCAGCTTTATGCTACAATGTTCTTGATTTTAGCAATAAACCATTTTTTTGATTGATTGATTGATTGATTTCCTTTACAATATCTGCAGGGTTCGACGTGAAACGTGGGATGACTCGGGAAGACGTGTCCTGTTAGAGCAGCCTCATAGAGGGATGTACAATACGACTTACTTTTACAACAATAACAGCAATCTGCTGACAAGACTGGAGATTGGGGAGAAGTGGGTGGAATACGAATATGTATCCTTTTTATCATAAAATCCATGTGTTCCTTTTTGGGTCAACATAACATTTGTGTAAGAGCAACGACATTCACAGCATTAATGTTGTAATGTTGCAACTGATAGCACTGCACTGTGTCTTTGTCTATAATACTTTCATCCTGTACATTACAAGCATATTAGAGGTAGAGCTAGCGCTTAAAAGAGCATATATAAATATCATAAGCATCATTCGAACAGATGGCATAATATTATCTTTATGTTTAGCATTGTCTACACCTACCTCATTAAAATCACAATACCACTTTTTTTTCCTTTAAAACACAGTACCACAGTGATTTTAAAAGGAATAACAAATTTCAATACGTTAGTTTTGGGTAGATTTGCGTACTCTGTGTTTTTACCTTAACACAACATTCAGAACGACCTCGGGGATATCATCGAGGAGAGGACAAGCTCTGGGAAAACAGTTTTCTATGTGTGGAACCCCGAGGGAAAGGTACATCTGCATGCGTGTAGCTTCATCCCCTTGATGAAGTGTAAAGTATCGATAGCATTGTACTCCCAAACATTGCACTCTACCATTCTTGCTGCGTTTTGGAGCTGGAGAGTGGCAAAAAGAAACTGTCCAAAGTAAAAGTAGCAGACGTATTGCTAAAAGGTAAAAAAAAGTCTATCAGTGTCCCTTTTGAAAAGATGGGATCACTTGGCGACCAAACGCAATTTCTTTTATATCTTTGTTTACACACACAGACAGCATTGGAAGTATAAATTTGCAATGTGGTTTTTTGAATGTCGGATACGTATACAAAAACAAGCAAACTCTTTTTGGCATTGCAGCGCACACACATGGTGACAAATGCTGGGCGACTCTACGAATTTGGATACGGTTCCAGTGGTGGTTTAGTGAGTATCACAATGCCTAGTGGTGCAAAACATACCCTAAAAACCCGCATTCGCGCCAATGCAAAGGACATCGTGTACCTGACACCTAACTCTACACAGGGAACGGTGATGGACACCTTCAACATAGACAATAAACTTGTGCAAAGGGTGATGCCTGGAGAGGAGACCGTTTCATACTGGTACGATGCAAGCTCGCGCAAAACCAGTGAAGCATTCGATACCACATTCATATGCTTTGTGCATCAAGGTGACGACGACAATGTTGACGAGATTACACGTTATGAGAACAGAAGGGTAAAATCAACATTACTGTATGAGTACAATGCTCACCTGATGACCAGGATGCTGGTAGTTTATGAGGATGATCTTGACGCCCAGTTTTCGTTCTCATACGGAGATCGTCTTACGTTGAACAGGATAGACGAGACTGTGTATGGACGGAGAAAGGCCATCGACATAGAGTATGATGAATACAACGAGCTACGCAAGGAAGGAAGCTTTCGATATTCAAATCAAAACCCCTGGACAGAAGAAGTAACTGATGGAACATTGACATGCACATACATCCATGATGGCTATGGTCGGGCAGTTGAGCATAGGTGTAAAATTGCAAACAAAGATGTCTTTATTCTAAAATCATTATACAACAACAGGTCCCTCATAGCAGTGCAAAATGTTGATGTAGCAGGCAATGTTACTGTCCTTTCATACGAGTATGACGAAGATGAACAGTTGGTTTCAGTTAGGGAAAACGATATCCTAACGGAACTGTACAGCTATGATCTGAATGGGAATCGTGTATGGTGGCTGGATCATTTGGATACAAACCACACAGCTACATATGACGATCAGGACAGGATACAAACATACGATAGCAAGGCATATAATTTCGATGACGCAGGTTTCATAACGGACTATGACTTAGAACATTTTGAGTACGATTCTACAGGTCAGATAACGTCGGCTGAGGAAGAGGACCGCTACAAAGTTCTGTACTCTTACGATGGTTTGCACCGTCGTATCGCCGTGGTTGAATCCACATCAGGGGAGGAAGAACGTTATTTCTATGGCGATCCTTTCAATCCGTTTAGAGTCACAGCTACAGTGCAAGACGACCAAGTAACCAAGTTATACTATAACAAACAGAATCATGTCATTGCTATGGAAACAAACGATATAATGAGATACGTCATGACCGATCATCTCGGAAGTCCTATAGCAATAATAGATACAAGTGGCAACACCGTCAAACACGTCAAGCGTACGTCGTTTGGAATCGTTCTGAAAGAGTCGGGCACAGAAATACCTTTGTCTATTGGCTTTGCGGGGGGTCTTCTTGATCAGTATTCCAGACTCACACATTTTACATACCGTGACTATGACGCAGAGGTAGGACGGTGGACAGCAAGAGATCCCATACTTTTCGAAAGCTTGCAGCCAAACCTGTACCAGTACGTGTTTAACAACCCTGTGAACATGAGAGATATCCAAGGATTACAAGGGCAAGCTGATCCCTGTGCGTCATCGTCTGGCGGTCCAGGGTCTGGGTCAGGAGGCCCCGGGGATGGTTCAGGAGGCCCCGGGGATGGTTCAGGAGGCCCCGGGGATGGTTCAGGAGGCCCCGGGGATGGTTCAGGAGGACCAGGTGACGGTGACCCTGGAGGAGATGGCAAGCAACCTGGGAAACTTCCTGGCTCAGAAGGTGAATAAATAAAAAAAAATGACATTTACATTTACGTTTTGTTTTTCATTGTTTTGCATATGTTTGAGACAATATGCATACCCTATAATATTTGGTTTGGTGTATTTTTGTTTCAATAAAAAGAGATATGAAATGAGAGCTAAATGATATTTAAGAAACACTCATTGCGCACTGTTATAGTTTGAGACAATCGTGATTCGCATTCATAGTGCTCTGACTTTCCCAACAGTTAGTTTTCTTTAGCACCTTTTTTTTCAAATGGGAGAGAGGAAGTAGTTGCCTTGCGTTCAATATTTGCATGCTAGTAAAGTTATATCCGATTGCATTTAATTAAAATTGACATTTATATTTATTACAAACATGTAGGTTCCGAGTTACCATCTTTTTTAATAATGATAACTTCAAGTGAAGCTAGATATAGGATAGATATTGGTTCAGCAAAATGTAAGATTTTGTGTCGTGTGTTCCAGAACAAGTGTTTACTTTTATTTTACTTTTATATTTCAGAAGGAAATCCCTCACCTAAAGGGGAAGGTCGGTGCGAAATTATTTAACCTTTTTTTTCGTCACATGTCTGTAGCAGTATAACAATAGTTTCTATAATATTGTTTGAAGATTATTATTTTTTCTTTCGAGGCAGAAACTTTCTTACAAAGTTCTGTCCTGATTCTATCCTGTAGGTGACTACGGGGATCTTACAAAAGTTGACGCCACGGGAACATCAGAACAGACAGCCAAGCAGGACAAGTTGAAAATTAAAGGTAAAAGGAATCTAATTCTTTTTTATTATTTCTGTCTTTATTCAGAATTTCCATTCATTTGTCTTAGCAATTAGAAGAGTTATATTGAAGAGAATTTGTTTAATATCTTACCAGTATGGAGATTTTGGTTAATATCTTACCAGCAAAACGCTTTTATAGGAGAAGCTGCATCACAGAAGATGGCAAAGACAGACAAGAAGAATGTTGATAAGTACAAGGACATCATCAAGAAAGTGGCAAAAGAAAAGAAGATCGACCCAGCCATTATAGCAGCTATAATCAGCCGGGAGACCCGCGGAGGCACTCTACTGGATAACAATGGGTGGGGAGATAACGGCAATGGGTTTGGACTTATGCAGGTGTGGATGATTTTCACCGTTCATGTGTCAAAAACGTACCTTACACTGAAATATCTTCCGTGAAAAAAGCTACCATGATCTAACTATGTGCATAACATCCAAACTTAGAACTGATTCGAGTGCCAAAAGTTTTCCTTAATATTGCAAAATATAAGTATTCATGAACGTTCAACAAATACCATGATACATAGAGTATGACATCAGCCTATGTCCCTTACACTATTTTTTTAAGTTTTTGCTCCATTAGGGTCAATATACATTGGAATAGTGTGGTTTACACTGGCTGAATAAATGACTAGAATACTGGATACTAACCCCTATAACTGCACTGGATGCCTTTAAATTATGAAGTAAATAAGTGTCCAAGGCCTACCTCATTTGCAGACTTTTCAAAGCAGCTGCGTTATTTTTGTGATTTATTGGGAGAGAAATTGAGTTGTATCTGCAAATTCATATTAACAGACCATTACTGTTTATAGTATGAATTTAAAGCTGCATTTCTTTTAGAGGTCATAGCTGACCAAAACCACTGCTTGATTCAGCAAACAAAAAAATGGTGTTTATTGTTATGACATTTTGTTTGTATGAAAATATTGCCACTCAGGTTGATAAGAATTCACACACACCGCAAGGAGGCTCTACGAGTATTGAACATATCCGCCAGGGCACAGACATCCTCATCGAAAATATTAAGACAATACAAAGGAAATTCCCCAAATGGACAAAAGAACAGCAGCTGAAAGGTTAGTGTCTAACAATATACCATTTTGAATACAAAAGAGTTCAACGATCCCAAACCTTCGCCAAATGATCTTATTTCTTTGATTAACCTAGTATCCTAATTTTGATTTTATTGCGTGTGCGAATGTCATCCATATAGAATGAATGACAACCTTTATTGTGCATTTTTGCCACACTGGGCTAAGTAAAGGTCGAAAGAAAACATGATGAAAAGATTTATACAGAATAAAACTAGCTATCAAAAATTCAACATAAATCCAACTTCTCGCTTTTCAGTTATAGTAGAGATAAATGATCAGATATGTTTTTCAATGGAAGGTTTGTCAAGTCGCATTAGGAATATAAACTTAAATTTCTACAGTGCTCAAGTGTATGAAGTACAAGGAAATAGGTTTTGTACAAATCTATACAGATCATTTTTCTCTTTACTAATATGCGTATACTTTGATTACCTCCATGAAATGTGTCATGGAGGTTATATTTTCAGTTGCGTTTATCTGTCCGTCCGTCCGTCCGTCCTTCCGTCTGTCTGTTGGTCAACAAGATAACTCAAGAACGCCTGGATGGATTGGTTTCATACTTGGTGTGTTGGTAGGGTGTGACAAAAACTGGAAATGATAAGATTTTGGTCCCCCTAGTGGCTTCCCTTGGTACTGCAGCGCAACTTCCGGTTTTGATATCTCGCGATCTGGACATGCTAGGGTCATGAAATTTTGATGGAAGGTAGCTCTCGTGCTTGGGAAGAAGTCTTATGAGTTTGGGCCCCCTAGCGGCTTGTTCTGGAACTGCAGGGCACTTTCTGGCGAAATGTTTAAAAGCCAATAAGTCCAGACAGGAACAACATATTTTCATTATTTTTGGTGTGTAGGTAGCTGAGAGAGAGATGTACATAATTAAATGTAAATTATGCAAATGAGGACTTTATTTGCATAATTAATGAGGAAATTCTATAATTACAGTGTTTTACATAATACTATGTAGCCTATGGCAGGCGGAACTTCAACAGATACTAATTATGCAAATGATGACCTAATTTGCATAATTAATGTGAAAATTCTATGATTTCGTAATGGTGAATGATGAGAATGCCATACTTGGGACATCTGTAAGTTAATCAAAAGTTAACATACATCACGATGCATATATCATGTTAATGCAGAGGTCATTTGAACAATTAAAGAAGAAATTTACATTTACATATCAAGATCATATTTCATGGAGGTATGAGATCTCGGAATTCTAGTTTACTTTGTTTTTATTATACATAATAGCTACATTTTTTAACGTCAGATACTATATATTTTTGCCTTAGGTTATTGTAGTAATAAAACGTCTCATTAATAAAATGCCCCTTCCTTTGTCTTAGTTATAACAATTCCCAATTTTTTTTTTTTTATAAACAGGGGGCATTTCAGCGTACAATGCTGGACCCGGCAATGTGCAAACCTATGAGAACATGGACGTGGGTACAACAGGAAACGACTATGCTAATGATGTAGTGGAAAGAGCGAAATGGTACAATCAAAATGGATATTAGATTCAACATCATCAAGTTAAACTGAACTTAAACGACCTGTATATGTAGTTGTTTTTAATCGTTTCAGATAATATACATAGTTCTGTGCTTATAGTATAATTAAGCTAACATTATGTACGTGATAATAATACGTAATTTTTTAATTATGCAGCTTGGACGTTATATGCATTTACTCGAATTGCTGTATAGATCACAGCGATGGTGATTATAGTTTAACATTGTGCAGTATTTTACACGATATACATGTAAATCACGGATAAAATCAGTATTTTTTTACCTCAAAGAGAATAATGCTGGTTTAAAGTTTAATGTAACTACAATGGAATAGTAGATTTTAACTATTAATTATTATTCATATTAACATTATTATTACTATTAAAATTGTTCTAGATCATTATGTCATTTGTCAAACATACATGTAGAACATTGTTATTAAATCAAATTAAACTATATTAGTACCAAATGGATTGACGTGTTGTCATTGTTTTTATTGTCAAACTGACCCATTGGCAATATATTACAAATAATTTCATCATTGTTTACACTTAATGGACACTTAAATATGGACACGTATAATATTTTTACTTTAGATATCCTCTTTAGACTTCAAAATACGCTGCTATCAATATATTTTCTTGTTAACGTGGAGGTTGATGTCTAATTCAGTGGCACAAATAGAATGTTTAAAATCAGTTACACGTCAAATGGAATGGTTAAATAAAAATCAGTTCCTGAACATTTCTGATTTTCATTCCATTTTTTTACATTTCATAATCATATATCTGTTAATTATGTGTCTTTAAAGATCATATGACTTCTCTACATGACATGCCAAGATTACTTCACAGCAGCAATGGCGTCTGCTGTCATTGTGCTGCTGTGCATGACAGTATGGTGCTGTGCTGGAGGCTCCACAGTCAGATGGACCGCCCCTGCTGGAGGCAGCTGGTCACAACAAGACAACTGGGAAGGACAAAAGGTTCCTGCACCTGATGATGATGTCGTCATAGAACTAGGTAAACACAACCTGACACACACCAAATGCATCATTTTCAAGTCAAATCATTCTTTTCAATAATTTCATCAGGCTAGTGAATGGATTAAGGTATGTGTTACTGCCTTGTATACGTTGTTATGTACGAGTATAAGATGCAATTATATTAGTTATATAAAGCAATACATTTGGAATTGTATGCAACACTATGTTTTTACAATGCCTCTGTATGTCACAATTGATTTATGCCCGCGACTTCATTGTTACAGTAACATCCCGAAAAGAACAAATTTTTGATTTTAAAAGGAATTCTTGTTGGCACTAGAATGCAGAAATGACATAAAAGAGTGCTGATAATTTTACTTTTACCAATATGTCTGAAGATGAAGTTGAGGAAGGGTACAGAAGTCTCGGTTGCTGGAGGGACAGTTCAAATCGGGCCATACCAATACTGGAAGGGGAAGATCCTCGCCTGGATGGACATTACCAAGCACGGGTCAATGCCACTGAAAAGTGTTTCCAAGTCGCACGATCTCGCGGCTTCAGCGTGTTTGCTGTCCAAAATGGTGGTCAGTGTTTTGGGTCAGCAAATGGCCAAAACACATACACGAGATATGGAACATCGTCAGCTTGCGGCCAGGATGGAGAAGGAGGATATTATGCAAATGAAGTTTATCAAATCAAAGGTACATTAATGTCTTCTTTTAGTGAAGACGACTGATATTTTTCATATTTGAACTTTGATAGATCAATTTTGCATTGCATCATCATTTGGAGTAAAATCAGACAATTTTCTGCATTAGAACAGTAATTATGAAATCTATTCCTGCCTTTTTGTTATTCATTGATATATTCCGTTTTTTGCCAAACCCCTCACCTCATTTCCAGTTGAAATTGAATTTAGCCTTGCTTATGCCTTCTAGCTTTTCCAATCACCGTAAGAGTTGACAGCGACACACAAATCCGGAATCTCCACACATTCCCGAACATAACCCTTGAAGTCGTCAATTCGCTTACCGTAAACGGAAACATGCAAGTGGATGGGCAACTTACCTTGTTTACCAGCGATTCAAACAAGGGAATAGAAGTGGGAAACATGGCGCGAGTAAAGGGAAGCTTTCACTGGATGGCTGGAAAGTTCAGTAGTCGTGCACGAGGACAGCTCCATGTAGAAGAGAGGATGCAGCTAAACCCGGGCTGGGGAAACAGACACCTTGATGCCCGATTGTCAGGTACAGAACTGTACATCCATGGAGAGGCGTTGGTCGAAGGAAGTTCTTCCTCTGGCAGGCTGTACATCTCAAATGGGGCGAAGCTGATAGTAACGGAAGGAGCTACTCTAAACATGACTGGCATCTTATCCTTGCTGAAGGAAAATACAGGCAGTATCGTCAACAATGGATCCTTGAATATACACTCCACTGGCACTGTATCAGTTGTACCGACCATCTACAGCATCGGGGATGTCCAGGTGCTCAAAGGGGTTTTCTCTTGCACAGGGTCAAGTACATGGCAAAACGTAATCTGGGTTTTATCAGAAGCCACGCTAAAGTTATCGGGGGGTACTCACACGTTGCAGCAATCATCCACTCTGCTTGGTTCTGGCAATCTGGACGTGGGGGCCCGAGTAACAGTTCTAAGCAAAGACGTACAGGTAAAAAATATTCGCGTCAGTGGTGGGACTTTGGACCTATACACAGCTTCAAGTGAACTCACTGTCGCTAAGATTGAAGTAGCAAGCAGAGGTGTGTTCAACATCCATAGTAGCGGAAACTCATCCGATTGGCTGCCGCTGCACGTTCCAGAGGTTATTCTTCAATCCAACAACTATGATTACGCGACAACTACATTGAACTGTGAAAGAAATCTACGGACTAAAAGGTACAATTACATTCAAATTTGTCATAAATTCCTGTAAATACTGTATATGATTTGGAGTATTTCATTATACTAGAGTTGTGATGATATTGAAAGATAACGTTTTTTTAAACATGAGTTTTGCATTTAATATATTAACCTGAGTTTCTCATCTGAAAATATCAACGAATTGTTCATCATTAACCTGGTCATCCTTGTGTTTAAGGCTGCACATGGCATCGGGAAGATACCAAACTGGACTCCTGTTCAAAGTGATGGGTGACGTGGCAGTAGCTGAAAATTGGAGTTGGAACGGAGGAACAATTCAAAGCAGTGGCCCAGTGACTATCAGCGGATCACTCTTGATTGAAGGTTCCACAGACGGAACTGCGAAAGTACCGGTGATGTATCTGAATGGACCAGTGACGACCAGAGGTTCGCAAACAATTAACATCAACCACGGTGGAAAGATATTCAACTCTGCAGGCAACGTAGTCTCGATCCGTGGAAGCCTCAACCTTCGGGGAAGCGGTTATTTCCAAAACAATGGTGAAGTCAAGGTCGAGCAATCATCGCCTGGTACAGCGTCCATTGCCCTGTCCTCGTTTGATAATTTTGGACAAACTACAGTGTCGGGTACCCCTGGATCTGGACTCAGCATTAGCATAAACCATGGCCTGACAGGGACGTACCACGTGTCCGAGAACAATGTTCTCACCATTGTCGGCTCATCCACCTATGTAGGCAGCGTTCTGAAGGATGCTGTACTGACTGGTGGAGGATCGCTCCAAGTGAATGGACCAGAGGTTGGTTTCAAGTCCATCCAAGTCAGCGACGTATCAGTCACAGCCGGAACAGTCTACATCGGGTCCGAACAACGCCAAAGCATCCCCAGTCTGAAGGTAACAAGAGGGCTCGTTGTGCTTGACGAGTCGTCGTCAGCAACAGAAATAGATGATCTGGTTGTCACAGGGGGAGAGGTGACGTTCAACAGACCAACAACAGTACACGATGTTGAAGTCAGAAGCGGGGTATTGAGTGGTGACAGTGACATTAATGTAAACGGAACATTTGTCTGGACCGGAGGGACATTAGCAGGCAGACTTGGCAGCCGGATGACCATCAACGGGAACATTCAAGTGGCACCCTCTGGAACCCTGTATCTCAACCGTTACCTTGTCCTGAAAGGGAAGTCTGACTGGGTCACAACTAATCTGAATCTTGTCCTGACAAGGGTGTTTGAGATTTCCTCAGGAGCGTCGTTAAGCATCCATGGCGGGGGCATGGTCTTCACCAGCTCATCAAGTGATGAGAACGGTGCACTGCAGAACTACGGGCATATCATCATCGATGCACCCTACCAGGACTTACGTATCAACACACAGTTCCGGAACTACGCATCCATCCAGATACAGCATGGCAACCTCTTCTTCCAGAGGTCCTCGGTAATGGCTGATGCTATGATAAACTCAGCAGACAAGAGTAAGATCGTGATATCGGATGGGAACCATGAGATCGTCACTGATGGAACCCCTGGCATACAAGAGTGGCAATCGACATTGGAGGTGACTTCTTTTTATTCCATTTCATTGAAATGTTGTTAAATAGAAATTGCAAAATAAACAGCTCTTGACAACTGTAGATGATATAATAAATGTAAATATTTACAATTTTTATTTTGTCTAGCTAATAATTAAGAAAGTTGGCAATACAACATGTATTGTACGTTATATTTTTGCTTAATTTTAATATTTGCAGCTCCCTTAGGGAGGCAATAGTCAAAGTGATTTGTATCAATTATAGGACAGAGCCGTACTGCTGCAGACATTCTAATTTGTAAGTTACTAGTTATTAGGTCATCACCACTCTCTTAACTCTTTTATGATATAGGCTTACTACTAAAATGTATTATGTAGGAGATTTATTGAATATTAAAAAATGTGTCTGGTGACTGCGTTTATATTTTGTAGGTAACTAATGGAAACATGTGGAGCAAGAACATCGTTTGGTCTACAATAAACCTGAGAAGGGGAAATGTTCACCTGGACCTTTCTGGTAGTTCGGCATCGATGGATTCCATCAGTGTGACAGGCGGATCCCTCCAAATCACCAGCACCACTCCCAGCAGTGACACACCGACACTGACCGTTCACAACTCGGTAACAGTCACCAACGGGCAACTGAAACTTCTGGGAGTTAACTGCAATGTGAAACATCTGACGATTTCCCACCAGAATGCAAGGATCGAGATTGAAAGAAATCTAGAGATTAAAGACACGTTCCTCTGGGATGCTGGAACACTGGCTGGCACTGCGTTTGCAGATTGTGAAATCGTGAGTAGATTCTTTACAACTTGTTTTCAACATTAAGGTGATTTGCCATTCACCACTAATAATGTACTAGTTAATCCAATTTTGTTAGTATCAAATATTTCTGTTGTAAAGTGATCAAAAGGTTGATTTTGTCTTGTGCAGCAAGATATATCAAGCAATAGCTTTAATTACTGTTTGGGTGTTCTGATTGCAATGTTACAAAAATTCATAATTAGATAAACTGTATATTATGACAATTGATAACAATGACGCAGTGTTCAATGGGTGAAAAATGCGGATTATGCCATAATATTATCTAACAAAAGAAAATAATTCTATTTTTAGTCACGTACATCTGTACCTGGAACCCTGACTGTAACTGGAAATGGTGTGCGATATTTGAGGACACAATCTATGTCCATTCAAGGCAATGGCCAATGGTTTGGGCAAGGTCAGCTGAGACTGGACAGCGCTGCCGAACTGCTAATAGCAGAAGGTGCAAGTTTTGAGCACCAAGGGGGAGGTTCGTGTAGTTTGATTTCCTCGTGTATTCATTGAATTGCAACTGCTAATGCTGAGGTCGCATATTCAAACCGGGGCCCGGCCGGGCTGTTTGGATTAGCGAAAAATTAACAATTTATATAATGGATATACGCAGATATTTCCCATTGTTAATATTTTCAACTTTTTTTTTTTTGCTTGGTTGTCTTTTCGTTCCAGAAGACTGCCCGGTCGGGCCCCGGTTCGGAAATGTGACCTCAGCCTTAATTGCAGATGTCACTATTCATGGGTGAACCTAGCACGTAATTTAGCCACTAGCGTTTCATATAATGTTATAAATGTGACTTTTGTGGCAACGAAACATTCCTTCTGAATGATGGTACCTGCTTGTTTTCAGGCACATATACTTCACAGGACAACCTTGCTCGAGTAGTGAACAAGGGGACCTATAAATTGTTCTCCCACAGTGATGTCAACATGGATGTCAAATTTCAGAACACTGGTCAGCTATATGTACCAGACACGGCAACCCTATCATTTAGGGGTGGGTAAAGTTACTTTTTTTGTTCACTTTACTTTATTTTACTTTACTTTACCATTTCTACCTTCAAAAATTCATTGTGTTTAATTTTTTAATCATAAGTTTTCTACCTGAAATTGTCGAAAATGGTGCAAATGACGACGGCATATTTGGATAAAAGATTTACTTCATTGGTAACGGCAACGCTACCTGCCAACTGCTGCCTTGAAGGCATTTCTTAAACCAATGGACATGCCTTGAATTAGATTAAACTGAATAAGATTCGACTAAAAGTCATTTGATTTACGAAGCACGTGGCTACTAACGTCGTACTGACAGCAATATGAACACTAACTAAGAATCCCCTTACCGTGTCCTAACTTACAGCTGATGCTCAATTAAGAGGACAGCTTCAAGCTGATAAAGGATCTGAACTTCATCTCTTGGGAGGCTCGCATCTTATCATCGATGAAGCCTCAACCTTCCGGGGTAAGTTAAAATTTCCCATACATGCTAGGTGTAAAACGGAAACTTGTTAATTACACTTAGGGCAGATTGATTTTGTACGATTTCCACTTGTACCCAATTTCCACGATGTTACTACTGCTAAGTTGGTGTTATGATTGTACATTTTGGTAGACATGTATGCTGTGCAATTCAATCGTGTATACTAACATATACATGTAGCTGTACACATTTATACATGTACATATATTTTAACATTGTACATCATATGGTTTATATGGTGGGAGGGTGGGAGGATGGGCAAATACCATTGTCTTTGTGATAGGTAGGAGTCAAATGTTTTGAAAATCTAGTATTATTTACCTACAGGTAAGCTATCATCGATGAGCACGTCAGTGGTATTCTACTCAAACGGATCGTTAGAAGACATTCAAGTAGGTGCAGGACAGACTACGCTGAAGACTCAACTTTTGTCGATGAATGTTTCCAAACTGTCTGTTAATGGAGGTCATTTAACAGTAGAACCATTTCGTCCCTCAAACAGTCCAACAGAACTGTTTGTAGAAAATGCAGATATTGTATCTGGGGCATTGGAATTAAACGTACAAACTGAGGTCAGATACCTGTCACAAACAGGAGGGTCCGTACGGGGAAGTTTTGATATCATTGCTGAAGAGTTTGAATGGTCGAGTGGAAATGTCATTGGAGACCTAGGTATTAAATTGTCAGTTAAACACCTGAAATGCTTGGGTACAGGAACAAAGACACTACAACAGCGCTCACTGACATTACAACAATCCGGAACATTTGTTGGGGATGCAGCTGGAGTCATAGACATAAACGGACATGGCAACTTTGTTATTGCCAAGGAAGCAAATTTAATGATTACGGCAGGAGTCACCATACATTCAGACCTGGGCATGTTTGAAAACAAAGGAGTGTTAATAAATGCTCTTCAGAGCAATGGGAAGGTGCTTACAGTCAATGGTCACTTTCGAAATACAGGAATAGTGAAGTGCCTTGATGACACATTGATGAAAGTATCAGGAACAGGCAAGTGGGAGGGTGCTCTGACAACCGGATCGAATGCTACTGTAGAAATTGCCGAAGGACATCATTTGTTCTTGTCAAGTTTTGAGGTCAACGGTACAGGAAAGCTGGTGGTTAGCAGTGGATCTGTCACCATGCACGCATGCAGCGTGTCGGCAGCTGTGATGCAGATATCTGCACCGGTCTACATCCACGGAGAGAACCGCTGCTTCATCCAGTCCCTTCTTGTCACAGAGAATGGTGTCTTTATTACCAACAGCCCTTCGTCCGTGGGGCAAGTCCAGCAGAATGGAGGTGTTGTTCGTGCCCTTTCTTCTCTAACAGTCGCCGAGTACGATCTTGTTAGAGGGACCCTTCAAAGTCACAATGTAACAGAGGTTGACCAACTGCAGTGGTCCTCTGGTACGATAACTGGAGGGAAACTGTACGCTGGTACTTTAATGTTAACACAAGGGACAGAGAAAATTGCCTCACAAGTCACGGTTGTTGTCTTAAAGAGTTGTGTGTGGGCGGAAGAATTTGATCAGACGCTGGGTCTTCGTGGAAATTCAGCGTTGATCATTTCACAGCGAGCATCGATGGATGTAAACGGCATCGCGGCACTCTCTAGTGAGACCAGCGACAGCTACCGAGGTAGGCTTGAAAACCATGGACAAATCAACGTTAAACAAGCATTCACATCTTCAGCAGAGTTTATCAACTTTGGAAACTTAAGTGTATCCGAAGGGACAATGTTGGTCACCAAGAAAAGTGAAAATAGGGGCTACATCAAAATCGGGCGAAATTCTGAAGTCAAACTGAGGGATCATTTCTCTTACCCATCATCAGTCATTGAAGGGGATGGCAAGCTGACACTGACTCAAGGTACAATTCGGCTATCAACTGATACTTTAAAACAGAATACCATCCATGTAACCGGGGCTATTGTCTCTATTGTGTTGACTTCTGGACATGCCTTTTCGCCAAAGGAGGTGAGGATTACAGGTGGACAAGTTGACTTTCTTGGCAACAAGGATAATAACTTTGAACTGGAGTCACTGGCAATAGCTGGAGGCACAGTGAAGATACATAGGCCCTGCAACATTTCAAAGCTAGCAATGACGGGCGGTTCTCTCAGTATCATGGCTCCCACTGACCTCGCAGAGTTTGACTTCTTTGCCGGACAATTGGTTGGAGTGTCAGATCTAGGTTCTTTGACTGTTAACATGCTTATGCTGCACAATTACAAGAACAAAGATGGCACTGGGAAGATCTTGCAGGCAATTGTGATGGAAATCCGTCAGCAATTCCGTTGGTTGGCTCCCATCAATGAGGATACCGTAGGGATGCAAGACGGGAGTGTGATCCGCCTGCTGTCTGACTGTGAAACCACGTTACAAGGACAGCTGGAATTTCAGGGAAATTCTGAAACGATTCAGAATAATGGGGATTTCGTGGTGTATGGTTCTGAGGAGAACCTTCCCCACAGAACAACATCAATTCGTATTGGCCCCCACTTCAACAACGCTGGAACAGTTTGGGTACAAGAGTCAACTATGGTATCCTTTCAGTCTACAGCTCACATCTCTGGAAGCATGGTGGCTTACAGAAATGCAAATGTCGAGTTTGTCAATCACTACAGTACGGCATCGCAGAACATAACAGGAGGTCGTCTCACTGTCCGAAATTCCAACCTCTGGATTATGTCAAACAATTTCACAACAATAAACATTAACTCAGGCGGACATGTCAACTTTGTCAGCACTGCAGATCCGGTTCATGATAGCTTTGTTGAAGAGGTCAGTCTAATTAGAGGGTCCGTCAATTTTAATTCAGATGTATCTATTGGTGTTTTTGAGGTAACAGGTGGGACGGTCAAATCAACATCACCTAATGGTGTTATTCGGTCACAACAGTTGACGTTTCATGAGGACACCGAATCATCCACCATTGAAGACTGCAACGTTTCAGGAAGAGGGATACATTTCATTGGCTCAAATGTGGCTTTGATGACAAGTTCTCTACACATTCAGCACAGTGGGGTCGCTCGCAATTCTGTTCAACTAGACATGCTCAATTCATCGGTACTGGTAGAAGAGGGTGCTACCTTAGCAATAAAGCACAAGATGGCGGTAAGAAAAACAGGAGTAGAAGAGTCATCAATCTTGGACGTTACAGGCACAGTTCATGTTGAGGGTCCTCAATTTGTGAGCTCTGCAGTCGTTGTTCTCCAAACCACAGGAAAATTCACGGTAACAAAAGACTCAAGTGAACTTGATATCCACATAACTGGCAGAAGTTCTGGTACGTTCAACATTAACTGTACAGATCCTACAATCACCATCAGAGGACCAGGTGATCTTGTCCTGGATAAAGGATCATTCATTGGCCCAAATGCAATGATCAACGTGCATGGCGGTCATGCTGTGATAACGACAGGAATTGAACACCAACTACTAGAGGGCAGTGGGCTTAAAATCACGCTACAAGGCACTGGATCTATGACGTTAAATAGTTCTCAATTCAGTGAGACCTCAAACCCATTCACAGTCAATGAAGTAATGCTTAAGTCACTGTCCAGCAACTTATATCTGTCAGAAGCAATACCGAAAGTGCAGAAGATGATTATTGCTGGCGGCCAAGTCCATGGTAATGCTGAGTTTGACACAGTTATACTTCAGTCCAACATTCGCCTTACTGACTGCAGCTTTGACATAGATCACCTCATCATCCGTGGAGGTAACAACGATGACAAAGAAATACAGGCTAGCAAAATCAGCATTCTTAGGTCACTCCGAGTAGAAACTGATGCAACAATAACTTTGTCTCAGGCTTCTGTCCTTCGATTGGCATCATCGGCCACTTTTACAATGGAGAACGCATTGGAGATTACAGCATCGGATGTAGGCAGTGAAGCGTCTTGGTTTTTAAATGAAGGAAGAATCGCTGTATCACTTGGAGCTGGCAGGATACTTAGCATTGGGGCCAAGTTCAACCATAGCGGAGAACTTTTAATCGAAGATGGTCACTTAACAATGAGCAACGACAGCTTCATTCAAGGAAGTCAACAAGTTGGTACTAGCAGCAGGTTGACTCTATCTGCAGGCGTTCATCGGATAGAAAGAGGTTCTTCTTGTCTTGTGCAAGGAAAACTGCTGGTGGAAAGCGCAGCTTTTGTGGAAATAGATTCTGACGACATGAGTATAGAGAGTGTAACATCACATGGATCTGTTACTCTACGAGGTACGTTAGATACACGTTTGGTCTATTGTTGAACCACAAAAGCCATACGCTAAATGAGAGAAGTCTTATTTGGAAGGGGCTACAGACAATTTACAATTTGAATTTTCAATACAATTGACTTAGTAAATGTAACTTATGAATGTGAGAAACAACTTGCAAATTTTTTTTTGGCAACTTGTATCTTAAATTTTATAGGCTTTGTAAATATGCATTTTAAACCTTTTCACGATATAAGATACAAAACAAGACAGTTAAAAACAATACGTTAATAATTAATTTGTGTTAAGTTTACCCAATATTATGAATGCTCTAAGTTAAAATAACCTTTTCTAAAGAAAAATTATATTCGAATTTAAAGTACAATCATCTGTATTGTGAATAATATTTTATCATTGTGGATAATAATCATCCATGTCCTTACTATTTTCAGGTGAAACATGTATCTCTGGTTTGGAGTTGTCAGAGGGTAACTTTGAAGTGGGTGGAAACGCCGGATTTGGTATGTAAACATATTTTATCACGGCCAGGCCAAAACTAGTTGTCACTGAAGAACTGTACTTGCATTAAAGCTGACAACTGTACTAAGTCTTCCAAAAAAAACTGAAGAAAGGTATTTACATTAAATTTTCGATTGGATCCCATATGGTAGCATATAATCATAATACCTAGTCTCAATTCATAAGCGTGTTAAATATCAATGTACAAATTAATGATTACACCTCATCAACAATTTACTGTGATTATAAACATATTATGAAAATGCTCTGTATATTTTAAGAGGTGTCATATAAATACAGAAATTTTACATATTAAAACCCAAATTACTGTTCACCTTAGCGACACACATTCAATAAAACATTACCTAGGTTTCATTCCCAATGGTATTACTTATGTCTTTAACACATACCTTTAAAAACCACAGGAGCATTAGACATGAAGACAGGAACTCTGTCTGTTAAGGGCGACATGACAGTGAACGGTCCAGTCAAGTGGCAGTCTGGGACGATCCATTTGTCAGCAGGGTCCTCTCTCACGGTCAACGGAGATTTCATCCAGGCTATCTCCGATGGTGAGCTGGAAAATCAAGGAGGAACATTTACTATATCTCCAGGTAAAACTGAGTCCATGGTATTGGCTATACCTTAAAGATGTGGGCAAGTCATATAACTACCACTTTGAGCTATTCCACAGTTACAAGTACGCATACATTGTAAGTTGTCACCATGAGTTGTAAGCTAAGGTAAAAGTATAAGGCCCTTGAACATTCTTTTTCTACATGCCAGTGGCCTTAAATTATGAACAATGCATCTCACACACCTTAACTCTACCAATTTTAGAATTAAAATGTGAATTTTATTTCGCATCATTGCGCATTTGTTTCCATGTAATGTGTTCTATGCATGTTTTGTATATTTTGAACCAAGTACGATTAGCAATTAGGCCTTTACAAATCTTTAATGAAGAGAAATCATGAAGATAAAACATACAATATAAATGCCACTTGTATATGCCACCACTTGGTTTTATAATTGTAGTTAAGAATGTTTTGCGTAATGACTGTATTGAATTCTTATTGTTTAGCCAATTCCTGTGGAGTTCACACAGACTGCACAAGTTGTCAGGAAGGAGGAGACTGTTCCTGGTACCCAACAGCAAACCTTTGTGTCCAGAATACTATTGCAGGTCCCTCTTCGTGTTCAGCACGACATTGCAAGCAGAGTGAGTTTTTTATTCTTTGTAATATTAATGTGAATTTTTCACTGAATATGTCATGCATTTGCCCACTGACTTCTATAACTCAACCGCCTTCAGGCTCTGCTATGAGAAAAGTATTATTCTAAAATATTAAGATATCAATTATGGTGAATAATGGTACATTTTGAAACCAAATGTTGCAACCACATTCTTAACAATATATAATATTCTATTTAATATATAATGTTCTGTTTGAAGAAAATGCTTATATTATTACATTTGTGTAGAATTGGCATGCAGCAACTTCGGAACAACAGAGGCATGCAGCAGCCAGCAGAACTGTACATGGTGTGTGGCCTCGGACATGTGTGTACAGCACGAGCAATGTCCCTCAGCTGCTGCGTTCTGGACCAACTCCGCAGGAGGCGAATGGCACGCTGCATCCAACTGGTTCAACGATACAATCCCAGGGGAGGGCAGCGATGCTTTCCTAACCAGCCTCTCTGAAGACTACGAGGTAAGAATCACGAATGCAATCAGCCTGCAAGCGTTAGAAATTGGCAGCCAGTGCGACCATACGTTCAGTCAAGGTTGCGACACAATGCAGACACTCACTGTGCAGAGGGATTTGCAAGTGGACCGTTTACTCGTTCGCAGAAATGCACGGCTAATTCTAGGAGGTGGCAATCTGGTCATTGGAAGTAGTTTAACTGTGGAGGGAAGGATGGACTGGAGACAGGGTACCATTCGTGGTGACGGAAGGATAAACATAATGGGAGAGTTAACCATACATCAAGACTGTTATTACTGCCATAAGAGCCTTCAAGTCCCATTGGAAAGCTACGGGAGGATCACCCTGCAAACCACTAGTAACTCCCTCACAATGAGCCCTCAAGTTAACATCACAAATGCCGGCGAAATCATTATCAAAAACAATGGAGTAATCAATGGCGGCACCATCTATAATGAAGGGCTCATCTATTCGACCACACCCACTGCAAACATCAATTCAAACATGGTGCAAAGTGGCCACCTTGTCTTACAACAGTCCAGACTGCAACTAGGTGGAGATGCAGAATTTTCTGGACCAAACAATTTTGACCAGGACAGTGAGCTGGTGTTGAAATCAGGTACCCATGTGTTTTCTTTTGGAAGTACGGTACCATCATCCCTTACACTGGAAGGAGGGACAACAACTATCAATACCACAGGCAACACGATCCGAAGTCTCCACCTCAAGAACAGTGCAACCGTTCGATCTGACAAGGAACTTCAAGTAGAAAACATTTACCTTGAAAGGGGCACTCTGCTGGGCAATGGGGATTACCAGATCAATACTTTTAGATGGAGGGAAGGAAACATCGAGGGCATGAAGAGTATTTTAGTTACCAAGGAGATGTCGTTTCTCGATGACAGGTATTATTACTACCAGAGGAAGACAATGGCAGAATCAACAATTTCGCTGCAGGGCCGTGCTTTAGTCCAAGGAAGCCAAGCTACGCTGACTATGAGCAGAAATGCAAGTTTTGAGGTGATTTCTTCAGGAGAAATCCATGTGCCTCTCAGTACAACCCTATCTTTACGGTGTTCAGATGGAACATGTAGAACAACGAACAATGGGTATTTGGATGTCATTGGCAACTTGGTGATATCTACAGACCTCGCAAGTAGAGGAAGTGTAGCAGTGGATGGTCGGGTTGACTTGTCAGGAAATTCAGAATTTGAAAGTGGCAAAATCTGGGTCGGCAGTTCTGGGACATTTCATTTGGCTGGCAATCAGAAGGATGTCAGCATAGGTGCATTGGTGGGAGTAGACATATATGGAACTCTGTCAGTATCAGTCGGGGTCGTCGTCGTATCTTCACAGAAAATAGCATACATAAAGAACATACACTGTAGTGGTGGCCACGTACGATTCACAAACACAACAAACCTGAAAACTATTGGAACTGTCTATGTGAGAAATAGTCAGATTACACTACAGACTGGCGATGCAACAGGGCTAAACGTTGGGAAAATTGAGGGAAGGTACAGTGGAAACGTAATTTTGGCATCACCAACCACTGTTTCGGTCATTGTGCTGCAAGAAAACTCTAGTCCTGGAGCAACTATACGTCTCGATTCACCAAAACATGTCTACAAGGTTTTAGATTCTGTGACTTTGAATGACGGTCAACATCAAATCGTAGGAACAGTTGACGATGGAGGAACTAAACCCACCTTGTATATTGAAGGTCAGATGAACTTGCAGCATTACTATCGACACTTCTACTTTCAAAATGTGGATGTGTCTATTAGTGGGACTCTTTCTCACACTTGTCGAGACAATCGTAACTACGGCGTCTACTTGGTCGATGGCAGCATTCTTACAGTTGAAGAATCCGGTCTAGCGGAAGTAGGTGGCTGTAACTGGCTACATTCTGGATCACTTCCAACGTCCTTTACCAACAATGGCGTGCTAAAATTCCATGACGACCCAACATCGATCCACACTACGTTTGTCCAGAATGGTACAATGTACACAACAACCAATACAAACCTTCATCTGTATGGCCAAAGCATCCTTCAAGGGAACGTTACCATTGGTAAAAATGCTGCTGTGAACTTTAGGGGTGGTTCACAGCATCACATTCTCAGCGACGCTATGCATGAAGACTCATCCACTCTCAACCTCCTAGATGACAACACCGTCTTAAACGTGTCCACCAACGACCTGCGGTTATCTAAAGTCAAAGTCGACTCCCAAGGAGGACGTCTGCTGTTGTTCAGCAGGAGTGATGCTGGAAGTGTAAACCTCTTAGAGTTGAGAAGAGGAAGCATTCAGATCGGCTTCAGCCAACTGACAACTGATGAGATCTTTCTGACTACAGGTTAGAAGAATTCACATTTATTTTGGCATTGGTAGTGACAAACACCACACATAATGCTTCTGTGAATGTTTCTGTCACAGAAACATTCTGGAATTATGTGTAGCATAGCGAATATTCACCCAAAATATACAAAAGTATTGAGTTGATGGAGGTGCATGCATGTCTACTATATTCTTATGATGGCTTACATAATATATGCCAGCTTAGTGTAACGTAGTTGAAACAATATTGTAGTTGAAGAAAATTTAAGGTAGTCAGAGAAGTTGGTGGTAAAAGTTTTCAAATCAGATAGAAAAGTACAGTATCACTTTCAATGGTGTATTTTCTCTTCTTTTGTTTCAGGAGAGATATCCGGATATGATGCACTAGTGTGGACACGCAAAATTACCCTGCACGACACTTATCGAGACAGCTTTGTGCGTGTAGCAAACCTCACCATAACAGAAAAGCTGCTCATTTCAAAAAATTATCCGAGTTACAATCGCCAAGTAACAATCGACAGCTTCGTCACAATACTTCATTCGGCCACGCTGGTGGCAGTTACACGTTTCACCATATACGGAGAAGGGGAGATCCGTAACGAGGGGACATTTCTCATTGACAGTACAGATGACCAGTGGCTAGACATTAGGGTACGATTTGTTAACTATGGGCACCTTCAAGTAACGAACAGACTTGTATTAAGCAATGGTGGAAGCAGTCATGGAAAAATTTACATGATGCCAACTGCAAAGTTGTACTTCAGGTCAAGTAAAATATACAACCTGACAAACGCAGGGGAAATAGTTGGTTCTGGAACTATATATGTGGACAGCGATGACCCAGTGGTATACCTTGGTGGCAAAGATGATTCTATGGAAAATCCTGGCAAAGATATAGGGTTGGTGGTAACCAGAGGCAAGTGCTACGTGGACTTCACACAGGCTCGAAAACTTGTACAACGAATGTCAATATCTGGCGGATCAATTGACATCACAGCAAGTACGAGCGATCCACCATATATTACGGAAGTGAACTTTCTCGCAGACTGGAACTACAATGTATTATTTACTTGTAACATCGGAACAAGTGTGTCCATTGGGAAACTGACGCTCAGACAGTATCGTACTACTGGTCACTTTGGACACGGATGTGGAGTTGTAGCTTCTAACATGATCTGGTATTCAGGAATCATTAACATACCAGCCTACTTCCACGTGATTGGCCACTTAGATATAAAACAAGACAGGGGTTACAAAAGGATAATCGCCACTAACATGACAATAACAGCAACAGCAGTGGCCGACGCCGACTCCACAATTTTGATGTCAGATGGGTCTAAGATCGACATTAACGGGTCGTTTTCCACGTACAGTAATTTGCGTTTTCAGAAGGAAGGAAGCGGAACTCCCCGGTTAGTAATAGGTGGCCAGCTACGACTGCTACAGAGAGACAAGACAATGACTGTGACGCCGGGAATTTCAGTTATCAATAATGGGAACATTGAAGTTTTACATGGTACACTGTCAATACCGTCCACTGAGTGTAACAGCGGTACATTTGTTGTGGCTAAAGATGCGTTGATACATTTCAACAGTGGACTGACACAGTTAGGAAGTGACTGTAACATCGACATTTCTGGTGTAAGCATCGCAGGCAATAGTCGACTTGAGATACTTGAAAATGGGAACATTTGGCAGCACATTACCATTACGAGTGGAACTCTTGCTCTTAACCCGAACAGTAACATAACAGTTGAGACCTTAAATTTGAATGGTAATGTCCAGATTTCCGGCCAGTTTAGGGTCAGAAAGTTTAACTTAAACCACCAGGGCAACATGGAAGTGACTGGACTGGTTATCATCACAGAGGAGATGGTGTGGAGTGGAGGAAGTCTGATGTCAAACCAGGTACAAGTAGATGGGAATCTTTACCTGACTTCTTCCTCTACCAAATATTTGCGCTCCGGGACGATAGTCGCAACAGGAACCGTTACTTTAACAAATCCGCAGACATTGGTCATGCAAGGGGATGCCAGGTTTGAATTACAGGGTTCAATGGCAGTACATGAGAGTCTACGATTTTCAGGCACAAGTCAGAATTCTTTCCTGAATGCTGGACTCATTAACGTCCAGGCTGGATTAAATCAATATGGACTGGTTGTAGATGTGAACTTCGACAGCCCGGGAGTAGTTGTAGTAGAGAGCGGGAAGATGAAAGTTGGTGACAATAACAGAGATATAATGTCGAATGTTCATGGCAATCTAACGATCAAAGAGCAAGCAATCTTAGAGATGGGCTATGGAGAATTCACGTTTACAAACCGATCAATCCTCAACGTAGGTGGGACTATATCCATTGCCTCAGCCCAAGTTAAAGTCTACAGTGCGGACAGAAGCGTAAGAATCAGCAACATAAAAATGACAAGTTCTGGAACATTGGAGACAACAGCGAAGGACGTATCCATACACACTGCAGAAATCTGTTCTGGGACACTGTGGATTCACAGGAGCGCAAAGATAGAAACCTTACAGATATGCGGGGGGCGCCTTAGACCCGGAAAGTCTGTAAATGTTACAGAGTTATTGATAACTTCAGGAGATGTATTCAGTAGTAGCGCGCGGCCAAAAATCGTCGCAAGGCGCATGGGATGGGGTGCCGGCAGAGTCTGGGCAAACGACGGGACTACCGCCATGACAATACAGGTAGATGAGCGCCTACATGTCTTTGGAACGAGCAGTAAGTATGAAGAGTATGACACCGTTATCCGCGTCAACGGACAGTTTACAATGATTTCGGGAGGGAATTTGTACATGTCCCGTGGAGCTATAATACAACTAAATACAGACAGTACTGCGTCAATGCACCACGGTTACATGAGAACACAGTATAACCCACCCGGTCGGCTCACAAACATGGGGGATCTAACCATCGGAGAGTACTCAAAAGCTACAACCGTTGAACTCGCCGTCCAGTTTCAAATGCTTGGAAAGTTATCAATCAAACATGGCCGAATTCGCATAGCTTCTGGCGGTCGACTTTCTGGCAGCACCGAGCTTTTCAACGATGGAAGATTCGAAGTGACAGGTGGGACACTGACCGCAACAGGTGCAAGCATATCTGGACCAGGAGATTTGTACGTTTCTGGGGGTATCCTCTCTCTAGATGGAGGCGAAGTGCACTCCCCTATATCCATTACAAGTGGAACGCTCCAGGTCCCCACGGATAACCGTGTCACCACTCGTGGAGCAGTTAGGATACATGGAGGGACTCTAACTGTAGACGGTTACCTCGAGTGTCTCCAAGATGTACGTTACATTTCAGGGTCCTTGTCAGGAACTGGTATTGTCAGGCTTGGCAACCAGTCTAAGATACTAGTCATGTCGACACAGTCTTCGGATAGGCGCACCACATCCGTTCGTAGTCTTCAGATATTTGGGCTGTTAGAGGTCAGCTCTTCTCTTGAGGTTAGAAGTCCCGGGGTGGTAAGAAACGAGGAAGAAGGACGGATTCAAATGACAAGAAGTGGGGCAATCACTGGAACTGGACGGGTCGAGAATTATGGAAGACTTAGCGCAGGGAACATGCATCCTGATATAGCTGCCAGAATTTCTTCAAAATTCGAAAACTTCTGGGTTGTTGAGCCGGAAAATTCCAGCTTGATACTCGAATCCTCCACAGCTACTCACAAGATATCATCAAGAGTGTTGGGAGGAGTGGCCACGTGGAGAAATGGAGTGACATTAGGCGGAGTCACTGAGGGTAGTGTCGTTATACAAGGGAATTGTCACGTCGGGCAAGCAACAGTATTCAATGGCAACATCACATGGGAGTCAGGGACCATCTCTCTCCAAGAAGACCAGTGTTCTACAAGATGGTATGATTCATCTAAAATCATGAGATCAGACTGCTCTGAGAAATATGTGCTAAACACCGGGGACATCATACTAGAGACTTCATCAGATAAGACTTTATCTGCTGGTGTAGATCTTGTCAACAAGGGAAACATCAAATGGTTTTCGGGAAAGATGATAGTTGGTGGAAATGTGAAAAATCTCGCTGGTGGAAAGTTTGAAATTACAGACGAGTCCAATACAGATCATCATATCTGGCAGAATAGTGGAAATACTCTTGACAACAATGGCGTTCTTCTAGTAATAAACACACGCTGTCTTTTCCAAGATAGGTACGGGAATAGACGAGGGTCACTTCACAACAAAGGGAGTTTGTCTCTTCGCGAAGAATCCTTCTTACAAATTGACACTTTGACAAGTGGCGGTGATGGTGCCTATTTTGAAATGTCAATGGAATCTACAGTCACTGCTGCACAAATCATCGTCGAAAGCGGTACAGCATACCTCCAGGGTCAGATAAATAGTAGAGTACATGTCAGTGGTGGAAAGCTCAATGTAGGTGGGCCTAACACAATTGGATCACTGTCTATTGAAGGTAGTCTCTTCATGTCAAATACAAGTGTCCTGGAAGTTGATCTGCTTAGTCCACTACCTTCTGTTGTGTCAGACACTTTGACCATTTCCTCTGATATTGAGCTGCATGGTAAACTTGCTGTTACCTGGAGCTCTGATGTTCCTGCCCCAAACAATATGGACTCTTTCCCTATCATAGCATACGGAGGGAGCTGTCGAATAGATGGCCTCGTAACGGTCGCCCTCGATGATAACGTCAACTTTAACACGACATGTGGAGAGTCCTTTCTGACTGTAACAGTCATCCGCTAATAAAGTTCAGCAACAAGACTAAGAGACAACGAGAAAGGTTTTGACAAGATCCAAGCTCTAGAGCCACCTAAAATATTTCTAGTACAGGAATCAAATTTTGGGTTCTTTTTTAATATTTTGTTTAGATTTTGCGTAATATATTTACTTTCCTGATAACATGTAGAGACTATCATATACTGTAAGCTCTAGACAAATTTGCGTACCAGTGTTGTTTTCCGTATTAAGGGATGTATTTAGCAAAGTAATGTGTATGTACCATAAACTAGGGTGTAATGTTTTCTTACTTCGTTGTAATTACTCAACTTTATTACAATTATTCAGCATAGAATAGACATGTGATTACACTTGTTATTTGCCAGTTCACCTAATAGGGCACGATACTTAGCATCGAATATTTACATAATTGTACTCGATGTATGATGATGATATAAAATCTCATATCGACGGAAAAATATTCATACATGTATATTAAAACTTTTTTGTCATTTTTTTGTTTGTTTTTGAAAGCCTCTCGGAGTCGGAGATGACTATACGAGAATAAAACTTTATGTTATCACCATTTTATTTGTTCATTTCTCTTTTTGTTCAACATTCCCATATTCGCTCAAAGACGAAACAGAAACCATTATTAATAGTTACATTTGTTATAAATATCGTTCAATTCATCCTTTTCTAATCCCATGCCTTGTAAGCTTCCCCAAACGACTTAACAGAAACTGTATCGATTGACAGATCTCACCATGATTCTGAATAGCAAAGTTCTTTTTATCACAACCATTTATTTTTTTCACGAGCCGACGTTTCGATGACTGTCTGTTATCTTCATTAGGGCAATACTGACTGGTTTACTATGCACTGCCACTAGCTGTTACTTGGTGCATAGTGCACTAAAGGTGTTAAATAGTTCATAGTGCACTTAAGCTAGTCTTTTCTGTCTACAATACATTCCGAAACGTAGTGTAATTGTGACATACATACAAGGCACTGTTACATCATAGGGAAATATGCGGTTCCAAATGTAGTTTCTATATATAAGATTTGTTAACTGGCAATACTGAGCTATCACAATCCCAAAAAGAAATTATTAAAAGTCTTGTTACATATGTATTGTTAGGAGTCGGCTAGTAACGAGAAATAAATGGTTGTGATAAAAAGAACTTTGCTATTCAGTCGTTTACCAACCTGATAAAATTATTCAGTTATTGTAGCAATTGGCAATAGCCTTGTACAATTTTTTCAAACTAGGCCATGCTTTCATCTGCCGTAAAATCCAATTGTTTCTGGTATGGTGTTTCCGCCCGGGGTTGGATGCAGCCATTGGTTTTTCTTTCTATCACACGAGCTTCCGCATGTTCCATACAGTAATTCGAACGCGTTTCGCGCGTACCGAGTGCGGCACTTTCGAAACTTTGAACACCGATTTCGGATGTTGGAATTGACGCCGTTACACTCTTTGTTTTAGATACACCACATTTCAGCACATTTCGCATTCTGTTTTCTCGGGTGGGTATGATATAAATAAAATGCATCACGGTGTCATTCCGCATCACACTCGGTCTCAGCTCTCCCACGGATCGTATCTGCCCCCGGCTTCCGGGCGATCCGACCGGCCGTCGGGCTCGTACTGGTACCTCGGGCGATACGGAATACTAATCTCCAAGCAGATTCGGTGGGGCAAGGGAACCTTATGTTGGCCGCCTTTATCCATTCACCGCCTGTGTCCAACGTTCGCCCCACGTGGATACATGCGGCCAATTGATATAGGCGGCCAACACAAAATCCACTTGCGCCACAGAATCTGCTTGAAGATTAATGGAATACACGTGTAGTATTTTATACATTTGGCGAAGGTATGCGATCATTGAACTCTACTTTAGGATATGCGGATGTGAAAGTCATGCATCCGCTCCAACAAAAAAAAAAAGATGTGAAGTATGGTACGCCTGGCACTTCTCCAGCTTAGGACAAGTGTTTTCCTGCTGTCCTACAGATCGTGTGCAGTACGTCACTTCAAGTTTCGCTCGTTCATGGTACGATATGCGAGTCATACATCCATAAAATTTACTTGCTTTGGCCTAATCTTCGAGCAGATTCAGTGGGAAAAGAGACTTTATGTTGGCCGCCAGTATCATTTGGCCGCCTTTATCCAACGTTTGAGTCACGTGAATACATGCGGTCAATGGATATAGGCGGCCAATGGATATATGCGGCCAACACAAAATCCCCTTGCGCCACCGAATCTGCTTGAAGATTAACGGAATACACGTGTAGTATTTTATACTTCTGGCGAAGAGAAGACATCCTGGAAGTCTACTTCATGATATGCGAATGTGAAAGTCACGCATCCGCCCAAATACGATGTTAAGTATGATAAGTCTGGCACTTTTCCAACTTAGGACAAAATCGTGTAGATTACGTCACTTTAGGTTTCGCTCATTCATGGTACGATATGCAAGTAATCCATCCACCCACACTAAGGCATCATTTTTGTGCCAAACATCTTTTCAAAAAAGGTACCTTAAATTGACGTAAATAGGTCTGCTATATGCTGCCTTCAAAAGGGGCTTTTGAATGCACGACAGGGGCCTTACGTAGGGGCCTTTATCATACCTCGCAAATTCAGTGTTGAATAATCGTTTTAATAAAAAGGTACCTTGAATAGAAACAACTAGCATGTCACACATGGAAGTCCGTGTCCGTGTGCCCCCTATATCAACCAAAGCATCGTACCCCTAACGTAAGCCTG